CAGAGAGAGGTAGAGTCAGAGAGAGAGAGAGGTCTTCCATCTGCTGATTCACTCCCCAGTTAGCCACAACGGCTGGAGCTGTGCTGATCCGAAGCCAGGAGCCAGGAGCTTCTTCCAGGTCTCCCATGCGGGTGCAAGGGCCCAAGAACTTGGACCATCTTCTACTGCTTTCCCAGGCGATAGCAGAGAGCTGGATCGGAAGTGTAGCAGCTGGGACTCGAACTGACGTTCAGTCAGTTTGCTGGCACTGCAGGCAGCAGCTTTACCCGCTATGCCACAGCACCAGCCCCATAGATGATCTTTAAGGTCAGGTACTTTAAAAGTCAGCATGACCAGATTAACAAGTTAAACTTCAATTTCAAATTCTTTACTACCTTAGACTAAGTTATAAATCAAGATTGTCTATAAACAGCTATTTGGAAACATAAAATTGAGGAACTACTGTATATTTGTGTTTAGTAGTACTGCTTTGGCCAACTCATTAAAATGATGGAAATAGAGGAGATACACCATCAGCACAAAATTTCTACAGTGTGTGATCATAAGACAAGATAATTCAAAACAAAATTACAGATGAAAAAATTTTTCCTTCTGTGATCTCAAATTTCCAAATCATAGAAATTAGTATTACAAAAATTAATTTTATAATGATTTATCTTCCTCTACTGCTCTTAAATAATTTTCTTTGTAAATAGAAAAATATGCTCTTAAATTTGGTAATTCCATCTTTATCAGCATTTAATTTTTCCTGTGATTTAGCCAAGCCCTTTTATTTTACATTTTTGATACCTGGATTTCTTAATTTTAAGGATTTTTCCCTTAAAATCAGAGAATTGAGAAAATGTACTTTTTACACTTTAATGTTCATTTGTTTATATCTTTATATTTGAAAGCAATCTTTAAAGAAATCAGAATTTAAAAATAATGAAAAATATTTTTAGCTCAATATTTTAGACTCCTTTATATTCACAATGTACAACATAAAATTCAGACTGTTTAACATGGTTTTATTATCTGGCGCCTGCCTGCCTTTGGCCCTCTCTCCTTGTCACGGACCCCACCTGTTACCAACCACTTTAGACTCAAATAATAGAAAAAAAAACCAGCTTGCATTGTTACTAACAGTGGTGGCTGCATGCTTTTGTGGTCTGTGACTGTACAAACACTGTGGTGATCTGAAATGCCCTCTTCATCTAGCTGTCCTGCAGCCAAGCCATTCCCACTGTGAAATTCCTACCAATCTATAATACACTACTGAAACTTGACCTCCCAGAAGCCTTCCCTGACCCTTTCAGGCTTTTCTATAGTTCATCTTCTGTCTTGAAATAATTACCACATTGTTAAAGTTGTTTTGCTAATAATCAGTGAGTCCCTCAACAAAAGAAGGGAAAGCATCTTATTCACCTTTCTTTTCATATTGTGCTTAGCCTAGATGCTGATGTAAACAAGTACTTCTCAATAAAAAGGAGAGAGAGACGATGGTAAGGGTTTCTTTATACCTAAGCTCTAGATAGATACCATTTAAATAGGAAATTGAGCAGTTGGGGGAACTGGAGGCTACTGAGAAAGCACCAGCATCTGAGCCACTCAGAACCTTTCCAGTCTGCTGTGAGAGCCTTGCATTACCAGTGCTACCTTAGAGGTATTAGCACTAGAAATGGGCTCTGCTTTATGAAGCTCCTTATTTACTTGCTTCCCTTACTGGAAGAAACCACTTTTTTATACTCCCATCTGGCGAGTTCATAATAATTTGGAAAGATAATATTGTTAACTCTTCACCGGTTTATTAGTAATATTTAACATTCACTGAGTATTTACTGTGCGCTTATACTTTTGTTCCATATTTTCTTTTCATACATTACTTAGTAGTCCTCACAACAATCCAATAAAGTGGATGCTGTTATCCTAATTTAACAAATAGGGGAGTGGGGGATGAGGGTCAATGAGATGAACTTAACTGTCCAAGACCACACAGCTATTACCTGTGGGAACCAGAATTTGAATCCAATGTAACTTTACAGCTCATTCTCTCATTCACTGTCAGTGAAGACTGCCAATCACTAATTAAAGCCCAAATAGTATCATGGTTATAGTGTGCATTTTAAAATCATCTAAACATGGATTCCAAATTTATTTTCTGGTAGCAAGTAACCTTACTTTTCTGACCTTCAGTTTTCTTATAATATAAAATGATAATACATATCCCAAAAGGTCTGTTGACCACCTAAATGCATGGTATATACTAAATAATAAGTATTAGATCCAGTTGCCTCTTCTATACTTCCGTTTATGTGAGCTCTGGAATAATGATTACTACAAAATAAGACCTGACACAAGAAGGCAAATAGCCATTAAACAAATGAGAAGGTTAGTATCCTCTATTTTCTGTGGAGTACTACCATATTGTCGCAAACCAGAGCCTGCCTTCAGGATTCCCAAGTGTTTTGTGTCTGTGATCACACTTATTCTGTTAATTTGAAGACTTATCTTCAGTATTTAATGGTTAATAAACAGAATAAATCTGTCTACTAGACTTCTGTCTTACTAACTTTTAGGAAATGTATGAGACTGTGTGAGTTATTTTTTGCACGAAATGGTTGCCCTAGTGGTTCTGTAACATAGACCTTTTAGTACCATTCAACAAAGAGAAACCATAAACACAGTTGCTGTTTTGGTGTGGCTTGTGGTTTTGGTTTTGTTTTTATTTGAACTTTTTCATGCAAGCAGATGTTCATTTAAAAGTAGTCGTTTGACATTTTTCCTTTGCATTTTTCACATTTTTTTATGTTTTTTAAACGTTTAGCTTAAGTCACTTCTATAATTGTGATTGTTCTGGTCCTTTTACTAGGCAGTGAATTTTCTTTTAAAGGTGTGGCAAATGGAATAATTATATTTTAAAAACTATTTCAAGGGATTTCTATTTTAAGTGTGAAGAAAGGTATTTCAATCTATCAAAACATAATTTTCCTATATTCTTCATTGCCCTTCAGTTAATTTCTGTTCCCAGAGGTGGGAGTAAGGCTGGAAATGTCTGCTATTCCTACTCCTCACCTTCTTCATATATTATAACTATGAACCATACCAACATCACTTGTTTGCATCCAAGGATTTGTACAGCAGAGATGTCTGATCAAATTAGCTCTTTGCTATTTCTGGGCCACAGTGGCTCTGAAGTGGAGGGTGGTAGGGGACAAAGATGCAAAGGAAACCATTTAGGCAGATCTTTGCAGTGATCTAGACAAGAAATGGTGAGGGCCTGTCCTTAGGTACTGAGAGTGGTAGGGAAGGAGTGTAGACAGATTAAAGAGCATTTGTTGATGGGTTTCATGGGTGGGGAACATCCTGCCTGCGGCCATATAAAGCCCATGAAATCATTTGGTCAGGCCTTGCCAAGACAAATGCAGGCCATACTCAAAATTCAGTAAATCTATTGCAGGCTAATTTTTTTAAATTGATAATTGTGTATGGCCTGTGAATGATGTTACAAATATCCCAATGGCCCTTGGCAGGAAAAAGATTCCCTACCCATGGATATTGACAGATAGGAGATAGATGAGAGGAGTGAAAAATGGGGATTTCTGGATTGGATGTATCATGTTGCTCACTTGCCTCTCTTTTTGTTTAACTCCTGCTTCCCTTAAAGGATTCTCTGTATGTTAACCTCCACTGATTTAGATGACCATACTGTGTACTTTCATAGAACCTGACATTTCTCTATGATAGCATTTATTCAGTTTTACAGTTGTGAGATTATACAACATACACATAATCTTCATTCTTGACTTTGTCTTATGAGGACAAGGGCTGTGTCTTATTCTTCATTTTATTCCCAGTACCTAGCATGGTCCTGAGGACAGCACCAGTACACTTTTGGTGAAAAAGAAAAAGTGTAATGTATAGCTCTTGCCTATAGTACTTGATAGAATAATCAAATATGTTAGGTTATTGGAGCCTTCTTGATAACTTTTTCTAGCTTAATTTCTTCTGCAACTGGTATTGTTCATGTTACCTTTGGTTATAGTCTTACAGTTTACCTTACTGAATAAACATATAAAGCAAGAAATAAACATGCTTTGTGGGTTTCAGTGAGATTTTCTGAAAGAACTCTTTAGAACATTAAAGTCTTAAAAAATTAAGCATCCTTAAATTATAATAACACTTAACAATTTTTAAAATATTACTAATTCTTAACTCAGATGGTAGAAACATTATACTGACAAAGTCATGATACCCTATTGTGTGTAAATCAATTCATTTCAATTAGAAATAGTAGGAATAGTTTACTTGAGAAAGTGCATGGATCATTGCAAGTTCATCAGATTTCAAGGAAAATATCTTGATGACACTTTATGTTATTATGAATATACACCTAAAGCTTACTTTAAGAGCAGAATGAGCTACAATATTAATTACCTAGGCTAGAATCAAACTACCCTTCACCCCCCAAAAAATGAAGGAAATTTAAAATATGGATTTAAGAAAAAGAGAAACTAAGCCATATAATTTCTCATTACAGCCCATTAGGAGTAGAAGTGAAAAAGGAAAAGGATTTAATTTCTCTAGGACTTACTTTTCTTTAAAATAAGAGCAGTGGATGTACAGTCTAAAAGATTATTTTTGGCTCAAATTCTGTTACTCCATAAAATAGAAGAGAATGATAAAGGTGATAAAGAATGATAAAGAAAGAATGATAAATGATATGTGATGGGAATTTTGGTTTGAATTATAGCTTACTCGTCATTCTTTCTATTGCCTCAGCTTTGTCTTAGAAAATCCACTCAAATGTTTTTATGTGACTTTATTAAATTTAATACAAGTGATTTTTCTAACCAACTGAAGTATAAGTGTTATCTAGAGCAACAGTCTCAATTAGAATATTTAAGATGAGTTTGTTTTAGCCTTGCCCATTTAAAGTACAGAAAATGAATCAGTTAACAGAGCCATTAAATGTATTCTATAGTTGCTTCTCTTTTAATAGATGTTTTCTTTCTTTGATTTAGGTGTCTGCTTTGGAACAACAATATATATAATTCCTTCAAGTAGTTTTATATGTAAAACTTGTAAAGGATCAGAACAATGCCTCCACGACCATCATCAGGTGAACTGTGGGGCATCCACTTGATGCCCCCAAGAATCTTAGTAGAATGTTTACTGCCAAATGGAATGATAGTGACTTTAGAATGCCTCCGTGAGGCTACATTAATTACTATAAAGCATGAACTATTTAAAGAAGCAAGAAAATACCCTCTCCATCAACTTCTTCAAGATGAATCTTCTTACATTTTCGTAAGTGTTACCCAAGAAGCAGAAAGGGAAGAATTTTTTGATGAAACAAGGCGCCTTTGTGACCTTCGGCTTTTTCAACCCTTTTTAAAAGTAATTGAACCAGTAGGCAACCGTGAAGAAAAGATCCTGAATCGAGAAATTGGTATGATACAGTTTTAACTTAATGACATTGTGATCCTGCTCTAAGATGCAAATAACTATGAAGTTTAGCTATTATCTGTTACTAAAATACCTATCTGAGCCAGTACTTTTATAATCAAATAAATTGTTTTCTTAATAAAAAAAATTAGAAATCTGAAGTACTTTTTACTGATGAACTATGGAACTATTTTTAACACCCTAATGTTACCCTGTAAAGTTTTCTTTAAGAAATATCATTTGTGGGATGATGTAGATTTGTTGTATCCCAGTTTTGTTTACATAATGTTTCCTGCCTTTACTCTAAACTGCTGAATATATTACCTTTTATATATTCAGATCTACTTGGGACCTTGTCACCTCTTACTATATGTATTCATCAAGTTTTTTTTAACCCAGAGAAACTTCTTTACTCTTTTGTGATCTTCCAGATTTACACAGTTCCCTGTTTGTAAGAAACTAGTCCACATGGTATGTTTAATAGAATGTTATGTTCTTTATATAATTTTTTTAAGGTTTTGTTATTGGCATGCCAGTGTGTGAATTTGATATGGTTAAAGATCCAGAAGTACAGGACTTCCGAAGAAATATTCTGAATGTTTGTAAAGAAGCTGTGGATCTTAGAGATCTGAATTCACCTCATAGTAGAGCAATGTATGTCTATCCTCCAAATGTAGAATCTTCACCAGAACTGCCAAAGCACATATATAATAAATTAGATAAAGGTAAGAAAATTGTCAGTTTGCCATAATCATTACTATAGCAAAATTTTATGTCTGTACCTGTTTTTCAGTGCAGTCTTTTCCCACCTAGAAGATAAGCTTCTGAAAGACAGGGATTGCTTATATTGACAAGACACAATTGAGCACCAAGTATACAACTTATGTGTAATAAACTGTGTATGTATCATGCTGATCCCTACGTAAATTATTTAATCTCAAAATACTGAAGAATTTGAGTTTGAAATTTACTTTTTTTAGATACTAACAGAATTAAAGCTGATTAACTGAAAATAAAAACTAGGATAAATAGAAACATTTTATAAAATTTTGGGAAGCTTTATACATTATTTTTATTATATATCATATAAATATATGTTTATAAAGAAAAAATAGTTTTATTGTTAAATATAGTAATTAAGTCTGATCATAATGAGTGATCTTATATAGGTAGACTTGACATTTCATATATCAATTTCTAAAATGAAATGAACATGACATATAAATGACTGTTTTGGAAGTAAATGTCATAGCATTGAAGAAATACCTATATTTTTCAAGATTAAAAAAGTGAAGCTTTCAGTTTAAAATAATGTACTATATTATTCTCACACACTATTAACTATAAAATTCTGTTAGAATAAATTAAAACTTTTTTTTAATATTTATTTTTTTGAAAGGTAGAGTTAACACAGAGAGGGAGAGACAGAGAGAAAGCTTAACATCTGCTGATTCACTCCTCAAATGGCCACAACAGCTGGAGCTAGGCCAATCCAAAGCCAGGAGCCAGGAGCTTCTTCTGGGTATCGCACATGGGTGCAGGGGCCCAAAAACTTGGGCCATCTTCCAGTGCTTTCCCAGGTGCATTAGCAGGGAGATGGATTGAAGTAGAGCAGCCAGGACTTGAACCAGCCCCCATGTGGGTTGCCAGGGCCACAGGCAGTACCTTTACCCACTATGCCACAGCCTTGGCCCCAAAACATCGTAACTACATTTCACTCATAGTGTTCACAGTAATTTATTATAACAAAAAACTTAATTCAAAATATTTTTCTACTACAGCATACTTTTTAAAATACTCTTCACTTTTCTTCAACATTTTACCAAAAATTTCCAATATAAAAAAGTTGAAATAATTGTACTGTAAACAGCCACACCTCTTTAACATAGTTTTTGTTAAATTAATTAATTTTATTTGAAAAGCAGAAAGAGAGAGAAACAGGTAGAGTTCTCCCATCAGCTCCCCAAATGCTCATAACATTCAGAACTGGGTTATGCTAAAGCCAGGGGCTGGAAACTCAATCCAGGTTTCCCACATGGATGGCAAGGACCCAGTTACTTGACCCATCACTTAATACCTCCAAGGATGTGCATTAACAGGAAGCTGGAATTGAGAGCAGCACTTTAACCATCAGGCCAAATACCCACCTTGCAGTTTTAGTCCTTACATTTTAATCATTTTTGTTAACTCCCTGACTTAATTGATCTTAAAAAGAGAAAATTAGAAATCCATTTCCTGTCCCTCCTAATCTCTAATACTTCCTGTTCTGTCTTTTCTATCATTCCAGTTCAGCATATGTATGTCTGTTTATTCTCTTGTTTTACTTCCCATAGCTACCAAAAATTCTGTTAATTTTGGTACTGATAAAATTCTCGTGCTATCATGAGTCACTCTTCACAGGAGATACACACATGAAGTATGTTCTGTAGTTTTAGAAGGGAAATGAGCTTAGTCCCAGGTAGTTGTGACTAGGCACAGTTTTATTTGCTTTCATAAAACATGAGATTTGGGTATGGCCTGGCAGCCCTGTCAGGTATGAAAATTCCTGTTTCTACCTGATATTTACCAGTACTTTAATTAGTTTGATTATAGTAGTCATCTATACTTTTTGAAATTTGTCTCTTGAAGTAGATATTGTGATTGCATCTAATAATGTTTTCCTGTTAATAGGGCAAATAATAGTGGTGATTTGGGTAATAGTTTCTCCAAATAATGATAAGCAGAAGTATACCCTGAAAATCAACCATGACTGTGTGCCAGAACAAGTAATTGCTGAAGCAATCAGGAAGAAAACCCGGAGCATGTTGCTATCCTCTGAACAACTAAAACTATGTGTTTTAGAATATCAGGGCAAGTATATTTTAAAAGTGTGTGGATGTGATGAATACTTCTTAGAAAAATATCCTCTGAGTCAGTATAAGGTAAGTAAAAAGTTCAAAGAATATTAATTTTTTTAAGATTTATTCATTTTATTTGAAAGAATTACAGAGAGGCAGAGAGAGAAGTCTTCCATCTGCTGGTTCACTCCCCAAATGGCCGCAACAGCTGAAACTGAGCCAATCCAAAGCTAGGAGCCTAGAGCTTCCTCCGGGTCTCCCACAAAGGTGCAGAGCCATCTTCCACTGCTTTTCCAGGCCATAGCAGAGAGCTGGATTGGAAGTGGAGCCGCTGGGTCTTAAACCAGCATCCATATGGGATGCCAGCACTGTAGGCAGTGACTTTACCTGCTACACCACAGCACTGACCCTAAGAATACTAATTTTAAATTTAAAAAGGGATAACATCAAGGAATAGTATCTTTTTTAGGACATCCTTCTAATTAATATTAGTAAGTAATATTTATTAGTTTTTATACTGAAATTATTGTTTAATTTGAGAAACTGATAATATTGGCAGTTATACTAATTCCAAAATATGTACTGTTTCATGATTTTTATCCCCTGTCAAGCAACGGTACTAGAAAGGAACTAAAATAAGCATTTTTAAAAATTCACAATCAGTTGTTCAGATGTACTATTAATAATGTCTTACTAATACTACTCTACCTTCTTTTCTATTCATTAAATGCTTATAAGAAGTAACTATGTATCGAGTATATGCCAAATACTAATTTACAGTATCAAAACATGGTATTGGCCTTCAGATTCCTTAGGGTCTAATGAGTCATAGGGGTAAGAAAATAAAACCTTATAATATATGTACAGAAACATTTATATTAAAAATGTCTGTCCTAACTACTATTTCAATGTTCAGACCAAGGCTGTTTAATATTTTAATACATCCATAATTTTGTGAGCCTCATCTATTTATGGTTTGTTGCTTTAAGAAAGCAATTGTTTCTTAGGAAATGTTTGAACAGAATATGACTTAGTAGATTGAATGTTTGTCTTGCCAAATGATTTTTCTTTTGTTAAATATGGTATTTACATAATGAGTATCTTCTGACTCTTACTGATTTTGGTTTTGTTTGTTGTGTTTTTTGCTTCCAATTAAGGATAGAACTGTAGTGTCAAAAGCTGATCTAGTTTTTTTCATATATATACTTTATATTCAGAGGTGCTTGGTTGATCGGTACTGTAACCTAATTCTAAAATGTTAGTATTTTTTAATGTTACAGATATAGCAACTACTAAGAAATACTATCTATAATGTTAGATTTTTTTAAACACCTATGCAGATTAATGTATAAATTCTCATAATACTGTTACTTGTCACTTTTAAAATGAGAAATTTTATGGGAAATGATTCCCTCCCTTTCTCCTTTCTCTCTTACAGTATATAAGAAGCTGTATAATGCTTGGGAGGATGCCCAATTTGATGCTGATGGCTAAAGAAAGCCTTTATTCTCAACTGCCAATGGACTGTTTTACAATGCCATCTTATTCCAGACGCATCTCCACTGCTACACCATATATGAATGGAGAAACATCTACAAAATCCCTTTGGGTTATAAATAGTGCACTCAGAATAAAAATTCTTTGTGCTACCTATGTGAATGTAAATATTCGAGACATTGACAAGGTAAGGTACTATGCTTATTATTTTATATAAATTATTTTACCAAAATATTTTATTGATAATGTAATAATCTGTTGACCTATAGTATATTTTCATATAACTAGAAAAGCACCTAAATCTCAGAAAATAAAAATATGTAATGAATTCTATTAGTTTCCATCTACTATAGCTATCACACAGCTCACAGTCCTTTGTCTGTAATTCTAATGTCTGTAACTCTACTAATATTCAGATAATTCTCATATCCGTAATTCTAAACTGTTAAAACTGAAAACTTTGGGGCCAGCACTGTGGCGCAGTGGGTTAACACCCTGGCCTGAAGCACTGGCATCCCATGTGGGTGCCGGTTCAAGACCCAGCTGCACCACTTCCCATCCAGCTCTCTGCTATGGCCTGGGAAAGCAGTAAATGATGGCCCAAGTCCTTGGGCCCCTGCACCCAAGTGGGAGACCAGGAAGAAGCTCCTGGCTCCTGGCTTCGGATCAGCACAGCTCCGGCCGTTGCGGCCATTTTGGGGAGTGAATCATCGGATGGAAGGAAAAAAAAAAAACTGAAAAATTTACAGGATTCATCTGGGCAACAGAACCTCATTTCACCTGAAATGAAGGTTTTCATGGTCTTTATTAATCCTACTTACTGGAAGTAGCCTTGTGTCATATTAGAGAAACATTAATTTCCTTGACATGCTATTTCAGCTCCTACAATTTTTAAGTAGTATTTAGTATATATGCCAATTTATATTTCTAAAATATGAAAAACTTTGAATTACATTCCTAGCTTAAATGGACTGTGGTCTTATTTTAATATTTTATTATTATTAATCTGTTGTTCCCATTGTTACTAATGGATGAAGGCAGCAGCAAATTTTGATGAAGAATCTATATCAGTATTAATTTATTATTACAAGCACGTGAAGAACAGAAAAGTTATGTCTGAACAAATTTTTTCATTCTCTTCATATCAGTCGCATTGTTTATATTGTGTAACATTTTATTCTGTCCAATTTGTGTGTACATATGTATATGTTGAGTATATCTATTTGTACACTTTTTTTTTTTTTTTTTTTTAGATCTATGTTCGAACAGGTATCTACCATGGAGGAGAACCTTTATGTGACAATGTGAACACTCAAAGAGTACCTTGTTCCAATCCCAGGTAAGAAAATATATGAATTGTATTTCCAAGGGTATATCAATATTTAGCAGTAGGGTCAATAAAGGGGTTTTTTGTTTAATTTATTTATTTTATGTGAGAGAGTACGAGAGAGAGGGTAAGAAAGAAAAAGAGAGAGAAAGTGGGATCTTCTACCTGCTGGTTCTCTCCGCAGATGGCCACAATAGCTAGGGCTGGCCAGGCTGAAATCAGGAGCCTGGAACTCCATCTGGGTCTTCCACTTGGGTAGCTAGCAGGGATCCAAGCACTTTTAGGCCATCTTCTGCTGCTTTCCTAAGCACATTAGCTGGGAGATCGATCAAAGTGGAGCAGCCAGGACATGAACTGGTACTCATACAGGATGCTGGCATTGTAAGGTGGTGGCATCAACTGCTGCACTACGTTGGCCCCAATCAATAAAGTTTTATACAAGTTATATGAATTACCAGACATTTACATATAGAACCTAAGGACTTTATCAAATGAGTATCAATCACAAGATCACTTCATTGATTCTTCCTCAAATTTTACTGGAAGGGTTTTTTGATTCTCTGTTCCTGTTATATCAAGGAGGAAACAAAATCTGGCTACAGTTTGCACTAATGATTCCCCATGTTAGATTAAAAAAATCTGGCATTTTTTTTATCTCCATCAAGATAAGTAAGAGTTGTATAACAACTCCTGAAACAAACTACTCGGAAGCCATTTCCTTTAAATCACTCCCCCAAATAAATATTTATAGTATTCAATTAACAGATCTTTGGGAATAAATCAGTTTCTTGGGTGGAGTCGGGGGGTTGTTGGGAGCATTTTAAATTACTACTGAGGGTTGCCTTTGTGTCACAGTGGGTTAAGCCATGCTTGCAACACCTGCATCCGATATGGATGTTGGTTTATGTCTATTAGATCCCTGCTAATGTGCCTGGAAAAGCAGCAGAAGATGTCTCAAGTACTCATGCCACTGCCACCCATGTTAAGAGACCCAGGTGGTATTCCAGTTTCCTAGCTTCGTCCTGTCCCAACCCCTGCCTTTATGCCCATCTGGGGAGTGAACCAGCAGATGGAAGATGTTTTTATCTGGTTCTCTCTCTGTCTCTGTCTCTGTCTGTGTAATTCTGCCTTTTAAATAAATAAATCTTTTTTGAAAATTACTGATTCCATGTAATAAAATAATAAACGGTAGTGTAATTCAGGAGTAGACATTTGGCCTAGTGGTTAAGGTACCAGTAACGATGCCTACAACCTATAAGGGAGTATCTGCATTTGGATTCTGGATCCACCAATTCTAGCTTCTTGCTGATGCAAACTCTAGGAGACAGTAGGTAATGGGTCAAGTAATTGCATCTCTGCCACCTACATGGGAGACCTGGATTGTACTCCTGGCTCCCCAGATTTCAGCCTGGCCCAGCTCTGGCCATTGTGCACATTTGGAGAGTAAGCTAGCTTTCTAAGAGAGCTGAGTCCTATAAATCTATTTGTTCATCACTTTGCGCTTACTCTGTCTCTCTCTCACTCTCTTTGTGTATCTCAAAAACTTAAACAACTAAATAAATTTTAAAAGGTAGTGTACTCCAAATCTTGCCATCCTATTTCTTAACTTATCTTTATAGATTCACTTGAGAATCAGAATCCACTCCTGAATATAACAGCAGTGGTATTTTAAGAGAATTCAAATTGATATTGAAAATTAACTGTATAGAATCACAATAAAGCTGAAGTGAACTCTGTAAAAATACAACTCATAATGAATTTAGACTGAGTTCTAGGAAGTCAAGGAAAAGGTCAAGTCTTATAATTAAGTTGTTACAGAGCCTTAGGTAGAGTTCAAAGAGATAGTAGATTTATTTACCAACAGGAAGAGACAGAGTCCCTTACCCTACCTGAACCAGTATCGATCAGAAAGAACATCACTTAAGTTAGAAATTATGCTGGGCAGGGCAGTATTGTGGCGTGTGTTAAGCCTCCGCCTGTAGTGCCAGCATCTCATGGGTGCAGGTTTGAGTCCTGGCTGCACCCACATGGGAGACTCAGAAGAAACTCCTGGCTTTAGATCAGCCCCAGCCACAGCCATTTGGAGAGTAAGCCAGCGGATGGAGGATCTCTTTCTCTCTCCCTCTCTCTCTCTCTCTTCCCCTCCTCTCTCTGTATTTGTGCCTTTCAAATAAAAATATCTTGAAAAAAAAATGAAAGAAATTATGCTTGGGCAACAAACAACCTCAAGATGCCTTACTTTTTGCTGAAACAGTTTATTTTCTAGTCATGCTGCATGTTTGTCATGGTTGGACAGAATAGTTATAAGAGGAACAGAAAAATAATACTTGAGGAAATAATAGCCAGATGCTTCCAAATTTGGTGAAAACTATAACCACCAACCCAAGGAGTTCAGCAAGCATCAAGCAAAAACTCCAATAATATTGGATAAATTTATCCTGGTTGTTTCAGTACTAAAAATAAACTAGCTTTATAAAATTAAAAGATAAATTGTTAAATAATATACAGTTTAAATGTTAGAATTCTAATAAGTTAAAGTTAACTATTTAGAAAGGACTATATTTGATTAAATTTTCTTCCAGAATTCTAGTCTAAAAGGCAAAATTTTAAGGATAATATTAAGATTTGGGGGGGGGGGCAGCACTGTGGCCTAGTAGGTTAAGCCTACACCTGCAATGCCAGTATCCCATATGGCACCAGTTGAGTTCTGGCTGCTCCACTTCCCATCTAGCTTCCTGCTAATGGCCTGGGAAAGTAGTGGAACATGGCCTAACTGGCTGGGCCCATGCAACCATGGGAGACCCAGAAAAAGCTCCTGGCTCCTGGATTTGGATAGGCCCAGCTTTGGCCATTGCAGCTATTTGAGGAGTGAACCAGTAGATGGAAGAACTCTCTCTGTTTCTCCCTTCTCTGTCTGTAACTCTACCTCTCAAATAAATAAATAAAGTAAATCTTATTTTATAGAATTTTTTAAATTGTTTACTAAAAACTCCGAAGTGAATGATTATGAAATTTTAAGATGGAAAAGTAGATTTAAAAATTCTTACTGAGATTAAGTGCTCATTATAAATCTGTGCTTTCCATAAACCAGATAAGTTAGCTACTTTATGATTTCATAAATATCACCAGTTATACCTCAAAGACAGACATATTTTGGAATAAACACTCATATATGAAACCATTTTCTAAAACTAAAGCATTGTGTGTGTGTGTGTGTGTGTGTTTGTGGGTAGGATGGATTGGCTTTAGAAGAGGGAAACGTGCTTTATTCTGACAGCACAGTGATGAACAAATATATTCATGAAACATAGCTCTCTGAGCATATGGGGGCAGGGATTGTGGTGCAACAGGTTAAGCCACCTCTCAGGACGTGAGCACCCTGTATCTGAGTGCCTGGGGTTTCTTCTCATCTCGTCTCTGCTTCCATCCAGCTTCCTGCTACTGCAGTCTGTGGAATGCAGCAGATGATGGCCCAAATATTTTTTTACTGCCATGTAAGAGACCCGAATGGAATTTCTGGCTCCTGGTTTTGGCCTGTCCTACCCTCGACTACTAGGGGCAGTTGGAGAGTGAACTAGCAGATGGAAGGGCTATCTCTTTCTCTCTCTTTCTCTCTTTCTCTCTTTGTCTGTATCTCTATTACTCCATCTTTAAAATAAATAAACTTACAGAAAACAGAAATGTATAGAATACTCTCTATAAATTTATAAGCAATTCTAAATATTATCTTTAGGGCAAGTGTTGTGGTGTAGCAGGTAAAGCTTCTGCTTACAATGCCAACATTCCATGTGGGCATCAGTTCGGGTCTCAGCTGCCCCACTTCTGATCCAGCTCCCTGCCAAAGTGCCTGGGAAAGCAGTAGAAGATGACCCAAGTGTTTGGGCTCCTGCACACACGTGTTGACCCAGAAGAAGTGCCTGGCTCCTGGCTTTGGATTAACCCAGCTCTAGCTGTTGTGGTCATTTGGACAGTAAGCCAGTAGATGGAAGAACTCTTTTACTGTCTGTCTGTCTCTCTCTCTCTTCCCCTGTAACTCTGCCTTTCAAATGAATGAATAAATCTTTTAAAAAAATGTATCTTTAGAATTCTGTTTTTTAAAGATTTATTTATTTATTTGAGAGTCAGTTACACAGAGAGAGGAGAGGCAGAGAGAGAGAGAGAGAGATTGAGAGAGAGAGAGAGACAGAGGTTTTCCATCCACTGGTTCACTCCCCAATTGGCTGCAACGCCTGGAGCTGCGCTAATCCGAAGCCAGGAGCCAGGAGCCTCCTCCAGGTCTCCCACGCGGGTGCAGGGGCCCAAGGACTTGGGCCCTTTTGCACTGCTTTCCCAGGCCATAACAGAGAGCTGGATCGTAAGTGGAGCAGCCGGGTCTTGAACCTGCACCCATAGGGGATGCTGGTGCTTCAGGCCAGGGCATTAACCCTCTGTGCCACAGCACTGCCCCTAGATTTTCTTAAACTACTGTGGACTTACTAAATTCCACAGAATTTCTTCTCCCTGTATTTGTACAATAAGACTTACTAGGGATTTTGTCTTTAGAATTCTTGCCAAATTATCTTATTTTGTAAATGTTTGTTTATTTTCATTTATTTTGTAAGTAACTGTTGTTTATTTTAACTGCTATGTAATATTCTATTATTTTAATATCCCACAGTTTATTTTGCTTTGGATGTTTGGGCTGCTTGTAGTTTGGAGATGTTATAAATAATTCTGCTTGTAACATTCTGTGCATAAAATGCACACATTTCTTTGGTTTCATTTTTAGATGGGAAACTTAATTGTAAGATATATATATATATATATGTTTACTTTTTTTTCTTAGAGATTATTTATTTGAAAGGCAGATTTACAGAGAGGCAGAGGCAGAGAGAGAAAGAGAATTTCTTCTATCCACTGGTTCACTGACTTCCCAAATAGCCACAACTACCAGAGCTGCACCGATCCAAAACCAGGAGCCAGGAGCTTCCTCTGGGTCTTCCACGTAGATGCAGGGGCCAAAGGACTTAGGCCATCTCCTACTGCTTTCCCAGGCCATACAGAGAGCTGGATCGGAAGTGGAACAGCCGGACTTGAACTGGTGCCCGTATGGGATGCCAGCACTGCAGGCAACAGCTTTATCCACTACGCAACAGCACCAGCCACCATATGTTTACTTTTAATAGATTGTTTTCCAAATTGGTTGTAAATTATACCCCCACTTTTAGTGTCTGATACCTCCTATTACTACATATTCTTTCCATTCCTTTGTATCACTATCTTATAGTTTTAACCAGTTCCCACAAAATTTCAATTTGCTTTTTCCACGTGACAATTAATTTTGATGTTTATTAGCCATTTGAATATGATCCTATAAAGTACCTATTCTAGTTGATCATTTGCCTATTTTCTTGTTTGGTTTGTTTTTTTCTTAGTGATTTATAGACGTCATTCATTTCCTTCTGGGTAAAGGCTTTTTCTTGATAAGTTCTCTTTTTCCTTAAAATTTTACATAGGTGGAATGAATGGCTGAATTATGATATATACATTCCTGATCTTCCTCGTGCTGCTCGACTTTGCCTTTCTATATGCTCTGTTAAAGGCCGAAAGGGTGCTAAGGAGGTAAAGTATTTCAGAAGAAACAATTATATTTTCCTATAAAAACTATTAATTATACTACTAATTGAAATGCATATCTTTTCTTTATTTAAAAATTAATAAACCCATTTTAAATTTTAAAAATGTTTAATGAGTTGATGTATTATAGAAGAATATATTGGGAAAACTTCTGAAATTTACTCATGATTAGTGAGTATATCCTGAGTTCATATTAATAGAATTTTTTAAACATACAAAATAACTGCATAGCAGTGACTAAATACAATTATCTGTCATCCCTGCATTGGTTCATATTTCCTACTTATTATTAAAGAAAATACATGTAATTTCAAATGATAAAAAGAGAATGAAGCAGTTAAACGTTGAAAAATCAGTCTGGCTTTTTATAAGTCTCCTATCGCTGTTACTCTAGACGATTGTTGAATTCTCCTTTCCAGGGAAGAAAAGTCTTTTGAAATGCATTTTATACTTTAATCCATAGAGGAGTGAATATTCTGCTTTGTTTTTCGTAAGGAACACTGTCCACTGGCTTGGGGAAATATAAACTTGTTTGATTACACTGACACTCTGGTATCTGGAAAAATGGCTCTGAATCTTTGGCCAGTACCTCATGGATTAGAAGATTTACTGAACCCTATTGGTGTTACTGGGTCAAATCCAAATAAAGTAAGCTATTTACTTTCACAAATTAGATTTTTTAAATGATAATTAAGCATTACATATATACATATAATAAAATAACTTTTCTTCCATCTCTTAGGAAACTCCATGCTTAGAGTTGGAGTTTGACTGGTTTAGCAGTGTGGTAAAGTTTCCAGATATGTCAGTGATTGAGGAACATGCCAATTGGTCTGTATCCAGAGAAGCAGGATTTAGTTATTCCCATGCAGGACTGGTAAGGCAATTCACTCGTTGAGTTTCTTAGGTGTCAATCATAATACATAGAGTACATAATCATTATATGGGCAAGGTTTATGTATTTTAGTATATAACCCATAGATACTATGAACTCTAGGACAATATTGCAAAAGAGAAAATGCCGTATATGTTAATATTTTCATTGCAACTCTGTTTGTTTATTCAGAGATCTAGCCTGCCTATATTCAATTAACAAATATTTATTGAATCCAGTCTATTTGTAAAGCACCTGGGTAGGCAGTAGGTAATTAAGCTGTGAACTAAACAAACCTCTGTTGAATATACAGTCTAATGATAAAGTAAATATTAAACAGATAAAAGCTGAAATTTAAGGTTATAAATCATGGTAGGTACAATGAAGGAATAAAGCACGTGTTAAGAGTAAAAGAGTTGAGGGGGAAAGACTACTATTTATTGGGCTCAGGAAAGATTTTTCTGAGGTAGTAAACTTTGAACTTGAGACAAAAGCATAAATACATTGTTCTTTGAGCTTGGAAACAGAGGAAATAGCAAATCTTCACCACATTAGTTCAGGTTCCCCAGAGAAGAGGGTATATAGAATGTGATTTAAATATTAATTTAGTTATCTACTCTTGGCCATAACTTTGAAACTACAGTAAAACTGGATTCAGGGAGCATTAATTCTAATTTCTCAATGGCAAAGATGTCAGTGCTAAGATAAGATGTTTCGTTTTTTGTGTGTCTCTTTTTCTCATTTTCCGAATCCATCACTTTTTCTTTGGCCCATTTGTAGGTAATAGTTAGACCAGCCAATGAATATCGGGCCAAGAGGTCTGAAATATGTCTGTCTCAGGAACAGTAACAGCAGCACCAAGAGGTAGCATGGAATACTGCACTTGGGAATTTTGTTAATAGTTTACAGTGATCTTCCCAATAAGTTTAGCAATTCCTTTTATAAACTAAGTAATATAATAATATATTTCCTGCATTTAATTCCAACGACAAGATTCTTCCTTGAACAATTCCCTTTCTGAGTATTGGTATTTTATAACTTGTATTCTTTTTTTGAAGATTTTTCAAAGAAAAAGAAAAAAAATATTTTTACAATAGAATGAGTCACATTCTATCTTTCAAGTACCCTTTGGATCTGTAAGCAACTGTTATAAACCTAAGATACATTGTGAGATGTTAGTTCTCCTGGTTTTTTTTTTTTTTTTTTTTTTTTTTTTTTGACAGGCAGAGTGGACAGTGAGAGAGAGAGACAGAGAGAAAGGTCTTCCTTTGCGTTGGTTCACCCTCCAGTGGCCGCTGCGGCTGGCACACTGCGCCTATCCAAAGGCAGGAGCCAGGTGCTTATCCTGGTCTCCCATGGGGTGCAGGGCCCAAGCACTTAGGCCATCCTCTGCTGCACTCCCTGGCCACAGCAGAGAGCTGACCTGGAAGAGGGGCAACCGGGACAGAATCCAGCACCCCGACCGGGACTAGAACCTGGTGTGCTGGCGCCGCAAGGCGGAGGATTAGCCTAGTGAGCCACGGCGCTGGCTCTCCTGGTTCTTAAAACATTCAACTACTTCATTCTAGGAATTATTTCATCATTGTTCATTAATTATTTTCAACTGTGGCCGGCGCCGCGGCTCACTAGGCTAATCCTCCACCTTGCGGCGCCGACACACCGGGTTCTAGTCCCGGTCAGGGCTCCAGATTCTGTCCCGGTTACCCCTCTTCCAGGCCAGCTCTCTGCTGTGGCCAGGGAGTGCAGCGGAGGATGGCCCAAGTGCTTGGGCCCTGCACCCCATGGGAGACCAGGATAAGCACCTGGCTCCTGCCATCGGATCAGCACGGTGCGCCGGCCGCAGCAGCCATTGGAGGGTGAACCAACGGCAAAAAGAAGACCTTTCTGTCTGTCTCTCTTTCTCACTGTCCACTCTGCCTGTCAAAAAAAAATTATTTTCAACTGTGCTAAATTTTAGCTAAACTGCTAAAAAAAAGACTGAAATAATAGGAAAATATAAAAGGACAGAATAGCCTAGAAGGATGATACACTAGTGAGATAAATCATCACTATTATATCATCTTTCAGGTTTTTTATTACACTTTCATCAGGTTTCCAGAAGTATAAAAGAAGTCTGCAAGCACCATCTTTGCAGTTTTCTCATTGGTTGGGTTTTTAAGGCTTTCAGTGAACACTGTTGAGAATTCATAATTTTTCACTTTCCACCCATAGTAACAAACAGAAGATAATTGAAGATATTTCCCAGTTATTAGACAAATTACAATATGAGGGCAAAGAGATAATAGGACTCAATAGTAGAATTTCTCAATCTAAGCACTGTTGGACCAAATAATTCTTTGTTACAGGGGATATCCTGTGCACTACAGGATGTTTAGCAACAACCCTGACCTCCAGCCAGATGCCAGGAACACCATTACACCAAGTTGTAACAACCAAAAATGTCTCCAAACATTGCTAAAGGTCTCCTGGAGTTCAGGGGAGAAAATCACCCCAGTTGAGAACCATAGCTCCTGACTGATTATGATGTTGAAACTTACTGTATAAATGAAATATCAAATGACAGTATACTTTATGAATTTTCTCAAACTTGAATAACAATGAATGGATCGTAGCTTTTTTTGAAAGATTTATTTATTTGAAAGTCAGAGTTATGGAAAAAAAACAGGCATCTCTCTCCAACAAAATTATGAGCCATTGGTGTTTTCAAAAGTAATGCATTTAAACAATGTGGTTCATAACTGACAAACATACAAAATAATATTAGAGTCCATTGGACCCAAGTGATAGCAATAATGACTATTTTTCCTGGTGAATTGAGGGATGCGTATTTGTTATCTATTGCCTGGACTATTGCAATAACTTTCAAACTTGTCTCTCTCCTTCCACATAGCAGCAGAAATAATCTTTATGAAATCATGATACTTGTGGCCTGCACTGTATACAGTGGGTTAAATGGCTACCTTCAATGCTGGCATCCTATATGAGTGCCAATTCGAGTCCCATCTGCTTCACTTCCAAAATCCAACTCCTTGATAATGAGCCTGGGAAAGCAGAAGATGGCTCAAGTGCTTGGGCCCCTGCTGCCCACATGGGGGACCCAGATAGAGTTCCAGGTGCCTGGCTTCCGTCCCCTGCCAGTCCTAACTTTGTGGCCATTTGGGGAGTGAACCATCAGTTGGAAGCACACTTGTGCTCTCTTTTGTCCTCACTCTCTCTCTCCCTGGTTCTCTCTCTCTCTCTGTAACTCCTTCAAATAAATAAATAAATCTTTAAAAAATATATCACGATATTCACCCTTTAAATTGCCTTCACTAAAAGTAGAATCCAGGGGCCAGTGTTGTGGTACATTGAGTGAAGCTACTACTTGCAATACCGGCATATCATATCAGAGAGCCAGTTCAAGTCCCAGCTACTCTGAGCTTCCAATCCAGCTTCCTGCTAATGCACTTGGGAAGGCAGCAGAAGATGGACTAAGTACTTAGACCCCTACCCACCACGTGCGAGACCAGAATAGTGTTCTTGGTTCCAGAAGTTTTGGCCTGGCCCAGACCTGGTTGTTGCAGCCGTTTGGGTAGTGATCTAATGGATGGAAGATCTCTGTCTCTCCTTCTATCTCTGACTCCCTCTCTGTCACTCTGCCTTTCAAATAAATGTTTAAAAATATAAAAATAAGGGGCTGGTGCTGTGGTGCAGTGGGTTAACACCCTGGCCTGAAGCGTTGGCATTCCCATATGAGCGCTGGTTCTAGTCCCAGCTGCTCCACTTCCGATCCAGCTCTCTGCTATGGCCTGGGATAGCAGTAGAAGATGACCCAAGTCCTTGGGCCCCTGCATCCACGTGGGAGACCTGGAGGAAGCTTCTGGCTCCTGGCTTCAGATAGGCGAAGCTCCGGCAGTTGCAGCCAACTGGGGAGTGAACTAGTGGATAGAAGACCTCTCTCTCTGTCTCTACCTCTCTCTGTCACTCTGTCTTTCTAATAAATAAATCTTTTTTAAGAAGAGAAAGGCGAAGTGATAGAGAAGAAGAAAGGGAAAGAGGATGTGATGAATCTTCCATCTGCTGGTTCACTCCCCAAATGGCTACAACCACCAGGGCTGGGCCAGGCTGAAGCCAGGAGCCTGAAACTCCATCTAGGTTTTGTACATGTGTGGCAGGGACCCAAGTACTTGAACTACCATCTGTTTACTTTTCCAGGCACATTAGCAAGGAGTCAGATCAGAAGTGGAGCAGCTGGGACTCAAACCAGCATTCCTATGGGATCCCTGTTTCTCAGGCTGTGGCTTAACTTGCAGTGCCATAATACCCGCCCTCCACGTATTTTTTTCTTTTAAGAACCTTGTATTATGTTCTCAGAAACCATTTCCAAATACTCAGTCAAAAGTAGCCACTCCGGCATTTTCGGTTATGTCACTCAGAGTACTTATGTCAACTATCCAGTCTTTGTCTTATTTGTTTGATTTCCCACTAAAATGGATACTCTGTTAGTACAGTGTTTCACTGTTTTTAACCCCAAAAGAAGGAACAGGACAAGGCATGCGGTGCATATTTAATCAATGTTTGTTGAACAAATAGATACCACTAATATTTCTTCAAACTGTTGAATAAATTAAACATGTTAAATGCATAAAAACTAAGTAGCTTGGATATGTGCTTTCATTTGTAGTCATTACAAATGATTGGGGGATATGTATTTGTCCTGTATAATGTTAATATACATTCATAATTATTTAAGGTAATACATCTATATTAAAGGGAATAAACATATTACTTGAAATTATATAAAAATTTATTTCCTTTTTTGTTTCCTAATATCCAGTGGGCAGTGCTTAAATGACATATTTCTTCCCCCTTATTTATTAATTTTTCCTTTTGAAATTTGAAAGCCTTGTAACAATTAGAAAGATGTGTTCCAGCAAGGAACATGAAGCAGTTTAATTTTTATTTATTGTTTTATTGTTTTTTATTCTATCAGAAGATTAGCAGATTAGTTAATAGGCAAGGACCTCATCAGGAAGAGAAGTAAGTTATTTGCTACCATCTCCTCATATCTCAATCTGGTCTCCCTGATTATCTTGGGCAGTTGCTGTTCTCTGATTGGTGGGAATGTTAACCATGTTAAGTTACTGGATCTCTGAACATAAAGTCTTGCATGAAAATGAATTATTTTATAACATTTAACAGGAACAGGCAATGTAAAGTTTATTGAAAATTGATTTGCCTTTTTTGTAGATCAGTCATGAACCCAGAAGGAAAATATGACCAAGAAAACCATATATTACTTCTTTTTACAGAGTAACAGACTAGCAAGAGACAATGAATTAAGAGAAAATGATAAAGAACAGCTCCGAGCAATCTGTACACGCGATCCTCTATCTGAAATCACTGAGCAAGAGAAAGATTTTCTGTGGAGCCACAGGTAAGTGTTGGGATGGAGATCTGTGTTTTCTGTATTACAAATGGTGAAACTTTGTCTTTAGCTGATATTATCATATTTTTACCATACTTATTACAGTAAATCATAATTTACATTATTTTTATTAACATTTCCTTTTTTTTTTTTGGACAGGCAGAGTGGACAGTGAGAAAGGTCTTCCTTTTGCCGTTGGTTCACCCTCCAATGGCCGCCTTGGCTGGCGCGCTGCGGCCGGCGCACCGCGCTGATCCGATGGCAGGAGCCAGGAGCCAGGTGATCCGATGGCAGGAGCCAGGAGCCAGGTGCTTTTCCTGGTCTCCCATGGGGTGCAGGGCCCAAGCACCTGGGCCATCCTCCACTGCACTCCCGGGCCACAGCAGAGGGCTGGCCTGGAAGAGGGGCAACCGGGACAGAATCCGGCGCCCCGACCGGGACTAGAACCCGGTGTGCCGGCGCCGCTAGGCGGAGGATTAGCCTAGTGAGCCGCGGCGCTGGCCAACATTTCCTTTTTTAAAATTATGGTTATCAATTGATATTTCTAGAAGAGCATGCTGTGTTGGATCTTAGTTTCCACATTGAAGGCTGTTTTCATTCTCAGCCTGTGATAGGATTTTTTAAAGGATTTTTGCACATCAGATTCAAGATTTTTTTAAAAGTAGTTTTAGATCAATTTAGTTTTTTGTGATTTACTTGATCTGAATATCATAGTTTTCAGTTCTCTCCCGTTTTTCTTTTTTTCTTGCACTTTCTCAGACGGAGAATATAATGCCTTTATTTCACTTATAAAGAAAGTATCCTGCTACTTATTAAGTGACATTGTATATGTAAATATAACAGTTACAATTGATTTCTGCAGGAAGACCATTAGAATATGTTTTGTCCAGTGGCAGCAGAATTGGTGACTCTTGTGGTTCAGGTTACCTAAATAGGTGAACAATAGAAGTCATATAAAGAGTGGTAGAACATAAATTCATAATTTTTCTTAACTACCAGCTAAATTTAAGTACTTCTCCGTTTGAATTTTCCTCCTATCTCTTTGCTATTTAACTGTGTCTCAGTGTATTTGTAGATACATATACAACTAGAGTTAAACACTGATATCTTTTGATTTTAAAAACCAAGATGTAAGAATGTTTTTTATTTTCTTTCACCTTTTCCACACAGACATTATTGTGTAACTATCCCAGAGATTCTACCCAAATTGCTTCTGTCTGTTAAATGGAATTCTAGAGATGAAGTTGCCCAGGTAAATGCATGTTTGGGATTACCACTTGAAATTGGCATATTATTCAAATTGGTTTATCTCAGAAAGTCTGCATAGATATAACATGAATTAGATGGTTTTTTAAATTAATTAATATTGGTAATGTAGTGGAGAAAAATCACTTCACTTCATTTCCACACATACAACTAATTAGAAGTGAAAATTTTAATCCATCTTTCAGGGAATCTTTCATATAAACTCATTTTAAAAACAGAGTTTAAGACAAGGTTTTAGAGGGTTCATTTATAACTCTCATTGCTTTTTTAAGAATGATGTCTTGTCTTCCTTATACACAGATGTACTGCTTGGTAAAAGATTGGCCTCCAATAAAACCTGAGCAGGCCATGGAGCTCCTGGACTGCAACTACCCAGATCCGATGGTTCGAGCTTTTGCTGTTCGATGCTTGGAAAAATATTTAACAGATGACAAACTTTCTCAGTATCTGATTCAGCTAGTACAGGTAAAATAATAGAAAATGGAAAAATGATGTTTTATTCTAAATCTGTGCCACATCCACAGTCTACTGCATTAAGTAGTTTTATGCTTTAAAAAGTAATAAATTTTATTATCAGTAATATCTACTTTTTTTTCTGAAAATTTTTCTTTAAATTAAGCCATGTAGAAACTGACCCTCATGGATCTGGGATTTTTGTTTTTTAATCACTAGGTCCTAAAATATGAACAGTATTTGGATAACCTTCTCGTGAGATTTTTACTCAAGAAAGCATTGACTAACCAAAGGATTGGGCACTTTTTCTTTTGGCATTTAAAGTAAGTCAAAATATTTCCCTCCTAAATTCTTTAAATATATATTTACTTGCTTTCTTAATAAATATATCAATATTTATTGCTTTTATACTTCAGATATTTTTAATAAAGATTTTTTTGGGGGGTCAGCATTGTGGCATAGCAGGTTAAGCCTCCGCCTACAGCGCCAGCTTCCCATATGGGCATCAATTCAAGAACCAGCTGCTCCACTTCTGATCCAGCTTCCTGCTAATGCACCTGGGAAAGCAGTGGAAGATGGCCCAAGTGCTTGGGCCCCTGCACCCAGGTGGGAGACCCAGAAGAAGCTCCTGGATTCAGCCTGGCACAGGCCTGGCCATTGTGGCCATTTGGGGAGTGAATCAGCAGATGGATGATCTCTCTATATCTCCTCCTTTCTCTGGAACTCTGCCTTTCAAATAAATAAAAAAAAAAATCTTTAAAAAAATAGGTAAATAAATAAAAGAAGAACCTCTAGTTTTTTTTTTTTTTTTAAAGATATAAATGTATTTTTTAGATTTATTTATATATGTTGAAAGAGTTACAGAGAGAGAGGTCTTCCATCTACTGGTTCACTTCCCAGATGCCACATCTGGGCCAGTTCAAAACCAGGGTCCAGGAGCGAGCTTTATCCAGGTCTGCCACATGGATGACAGGGGTCCAAGCACTTTGGCCATCTTCTGCTGCTTTTCCCAGGCCATTAGCGAGGAGCTGGATTGGAAGTGGAACAACTTGGACACAAACCAGTGCCCATATGGGATGCCAGCTTAGCAGGTGGCTGCTTTACCTACCACACCACAATGCCAGCCTCTATATTTTAGATTTTGTTTGGCTGGAAGAATTTTTCATAATGAAAGTATGGTACTAGTGATGAGCATTTCAACTTTTTCTCTTTAAAATTAAATAAGCAGTAAAATTCAAAACAATTTCATTCATGAGTGAGAGCTGTAACATTTTTAGATTATAATTCCATTTTAAGCAAAGCAAAATTTGCTGGGTCCAGGTTAATGTTGCCATAGGTTTCATACTACGTATGGATTGAAATATCCCAAAATTTAAAAAAAAAAATCTTACCTTGGATTTAAGAATAGTAGTGACAAAAATCCCATGTTTCTTACTAGAAAATAGGCTAAGAATACAAGATATTTTGCAGAATGTGACATTTCAAATAGTCAAAGGTCATCAACTGTATTTTTTTTATAAATCAAAAACAGATTGTTACCTAATATGGTTTTTATAAAATATTAAGATAAAAACATTGAGCCTAGAAGCTAGGTTTAAAATATCTTAAATTTAGAGGCAGTATAGAAAAGTGTGGACACATATGCCAGAAGAGTTAAAGGAGCTGGATTAGACTCTGTGAACCCTGCCTACTTATTTCATTTTGTGTCCAATTTCCTTTATTCATTTTTCAGTGTCTTACACTGAAATTAATGAATGAAAAGTAGTTGTAATAAACCTAAAAACTATAATTGTTATTAAATTTACCTGTCCAGGAACTACCTGAAAACTTGTTTTGCTTCTAAGTGATAGGTTTTGTATCATCTTATTGTTATAGTATATGTTTACTCTTTTAAGACCAATTTTTTCTTTTTTTCATTTAATCTTGTACTGATCTTTTAGATCTGAGATGCACAATAAAACAGTTAGTCAGAGGTTTGGCCTGCTTTTGGAGTCCTACTGCCGGGCATGTGGAATGTATTTGAAGCACCTGAATAGGCAAGTTGAGGCTATGGAAAAGCTCATTAACTTGACTGACATTCTCAAACAGGAGAAGAAGGATGAAACACAAAAGGTGTGTGACTGACTGTTTAGTTTGTTTTTTAAGACTCCATTCCTTCAGTGAGCAGCGTTGTTTATAAGTCCAGTGTATATTCAGATCATATAATCTCTGGAATCAAGCAGCTTAGAATTTGGGTCCAAGTTCCACTCCTCTCCTATATACAAAATGACAATAATTCTTTCTTCATCGGGTTCTTGTGAGAATGAGATTACATGAAATATGCAAAGCACCTGTTACACAGTCCTTAGAACATACAAGGTGCACAAGAAATATTAGTTGCCTTTACTTTCCTCTCCTTTCTTTTCTATATAGCCCCAAATATTAAAAATTATTCTTTCCTCATTCAATTTTATTTTCTCTTAGTACTGTTTCTGAAACTGTAATTTATGGGCAAGAGGGGATGGTACACCTTGAAAGAAAAAAATTTACCATATCCATATTGTATCTAAGTTATGAAAAAAGAAGCTAGATATAGGCATTTCTTCTAAGCCAGAGTTTTCATTTCATAAATTAGCTGTGATACAGCAGATTAATCAGGAACATGAAATTCATTACTCAGAACATTGTTGGCTTAAATAAAATTCTGAATTCTGAGAGGGAACTAAAATTGCAGGCATAGACGCAAAAGCAGTTGCTTTGAGTGGTTTTATTTTTTATTATAACAGTGGATGATAAGGTATATAAATATGTGTTGTATTAATGTTAGGATTGACAGCGGTGGGAAAAGAAATGCCTTTGTGTGAGTACAGGACACCTAGTCCACAATGGCTATTCAATTCAGTATGAAAAAAAATTTTTATTACTAAAATTTAAGCATGAAAATTAATTCTTATTAATTCTTAATGCCTAACCTGCCCCTCCTCACATTTATATTTCTAATAGATGGAAATTTCCTAAAATAAAATGCCAGGTACTACATGATAGCTCAACAATCTAGGCTTCAGTTTGAATTGATTAAAAGGGAATATTTCTTATAGCTATCTACCAGAACCTGAATGTAGTGTGTGACTTCATGTAACATATTTTTGTAAGTCTTTTCCCCACACTTCTCTTTAGCCTCACTAGACCTTTTTACCCAACAAAGTATAAATGTGATATTTTCTGAAAAGCCCAAAGTAAGGTCTTTGAACTACAATACTGTGGTCTACTTAGTTTTTCCTCTAGAACAAGGTGTAGCAGAGTTTTTCTTAACGGGTCAGATAGTCAACTTTTTACTGTGGTCTCTGTCTTCACTATTCAACTCTGTTATTCTAATGTGAAAGCAGTTAATATGTAGCTATATCCTAATGCAAGTTGATTAAAAAAAAAACAAAAAACTGGCTACTGACCTGCAGGCCACAGTTAGTCAGCCCTGCTCTAGAACCAAAACTCAGCAAGCAGAGTTTATCCAGCCCCTGGAAGATGTATGGCGCTGCCTTTGTTGACTCTTTCATCAAGGTACAGTGCTGTATTATAGAAACCTTCCTGTTTAGAGTGCAACCCATGCAGAAAGTGAATTCAGAGATAATACCATACCAAGGCATCAGTGTTAAAAGAGATAATAAGTTAGTTTTACTTTGTATAACATCAGTTTCTAACCATGTTGGCTCTTTTAAAATCAGGTACAAATGAAGTTTTTAGTTGAGCAAATGAGGCAACCAGATTTCATGGATGCTCTACAGGGCTTTCTGTCTCCTTTAAACCCTGCTCATCAACTGGGAAATCTCAGGTGAGGTACTTTCTTGGGAGTTTGATATATTTAAATCAATACCTTTTGTAGATAAAATTTTGATAAAAGTCAAAATGTCTATTATAATGAGTTTCTGCTACTTTAAAAAGTTTAAAACATTTTATTGCTAATAATATAGCTAAAATTTTTGATGTCATAGGATAAGAAATGGAATATTATATCTAGAAAATTAACAGTATGTCCCCATGTCATATAAAAATGCTTAAAGCCTAAGATTTATTTTTTTCCTTGCACTCCTTAGAAGCAAATTCATAAATAAAAATTTAGAAAGTTTAAAAATTTTGCACTTCCAAAAGCTATCCTGTATATGTAGTTTACAATAAGTTTAAGGATAATAAGAATAACAAGGCTAAGGTACTTAGTAAAGTTTTTAACTATTTTAAAGGCTTGAAGAGTGTCGAATAATGTCCTCTGCAAAAAGGCCACTGTGGTTGAATTGGGAGAACCCAGACATCATGTCAGAGTTACTGTTTCAGAACAATGAGATCATCTTTAAAAATGGGGATGGTAAGGAAGAGCATTAATGAGCCTATGATCCGTGAATTTAGCTACTTTTTTCTACACAGGATATTTATGAACTGTGAAAACTAAGGAAAGCTATTTAAAGAATACACATGAGAAAAAAATATATAACAGTAAGCATATGTTTTTAATTGTTGGAATACACACACACACACACACACACACACACACGGAGTTGAGGAAATGTTACCCCAGAAGATGATACTTTAATATTAATTACTTTGAGCTGAGGGCACTTGGGGAGCAGTAGATGCAGGCAGAGGCTTTCTCTGCATTCCCCTTACCTGCCTGAAGATGGATCCTCCAGAAGGAACTCAGTTGTCCTGAGAACCAGTGAAGATCAACAGGAGGGTTGATCCCTGCAATTCCAACCCAAGTACTTCTTTAATTTTTTATGAGAATACCTGTATAGGGAAGAGAAAAATGGCTTCTCGAAAAATGGCTTCTCGCTACTCTTCTGTTTCATTGGCTGGCCTACAAATTAACTTGACATAAGACAGAGTAACAGAAGAAAAATAATATTTAATTAGATACACACAGGAGTCCCACAGAATAGGAGACATGAAGAACATTCAGATAGTTAGAGCTTCATGGCATCCTGAGCTACAGGAAAGAATAGGGGTTTTTGGCTTCTTGGGTATGAAGCATGTTATGGGAGGTTGAGGAGAGGAAATGTCTGTTAAATAAAGGTTGTCTTGATATGCTGATGAAAAGTCTCTAAGGTGATAAATGTATAGGAGCAGTCCTAAGAAGAGTAAGTGAGCGTCTCTCTGAGTGTGGTATCTACCTCCAGTTGATCTTCTTTGGTTGAGGTGGCATTTCTGAACTCCTTCAGAATTAGAAATCCTAAAATCAGTTTCTGTCATTTGCATGAATGGTGTGAGCATCCATTCATTCCATAAATACTTTTTAAAAGTATGGAAAGCTATGGGGTTGTAGCAATAAAACAGAACCCCAGCCCTCTTGAAGTTTATATTCTATCAGGGAAAAGAGGCACATTAAACAAATAATTATAAAAAATACAAAGGAAGAATGTAGTCTGTTAAGGAGACTTGTAAACAAAATTCAATTTATTTGGAGTCTAGGCTGTTGGGGGAAACAGGGAGGATAATCCTTGACTTTCTATTAGGGAATGACCTCTCAGCAGGGAATTCTGTTGATCCGTCTGTTAGAATAAACAGATGGTTAAGTGAAAAATAAATAACTTTTTAAAAATTTTTGTGAAATAAAATAATGCATGCTTACACTAATGTTACACAGATATGTTAATGAGAATACTTTAGAAGTAGATTAAAGAATCGGAATTTTGCTTTCTTATAAATTATTTTGAAGAGTAGATTATAGCTTTATTTGTTTTCATTCAAAAACAATGTGCTGGTATGATCCCCAAGTTGCATTTATGACATTCAGTGGTACATATTATTTGAATTTCAGATTTACGGCAAGATATGCTAACACTTCAAATTATTCGCATTATGGAAAATATCTGGCAAAATCAAGGTCTTGATCTTCGGTAGGTAGCCATAAAAGTAAACTATTAATAAACATTAATTATAGAAGCGTATGTTTATAAGGAAATGTATATATTAATAATTAACAAGAGTTGAGTACACTATGGTACTTTCATTTGTCCTCCTCTTACTTGGTTTAGAATAGCTAATGAGGTCCAGCTAGGTAAGAGCTACCTCTGACAAGCTAGTGCAGACTCTGCAACTGTCTCTGGAATGTCACCTTTAGGAACAAGATAGAGGAGACACAAAGTGCCTTTGTTTATAGTCTGAAGTAAACACATATAATAGAAGGTTCATCATAGAAATCATCTAATTCTAAAGCTTTATAAATTTTCTAATCTTATTTTGCAGCAAACTTTTTACTAAAGTTTATTGTTTTCTGTCAAACCTTGTACAATTACTAGTATTAGATCCAAATTTTATCAAGTCACTGTTTGCTTTTTAAGTTACTGTTGCTTCTGTTAATTTTTCCTTCTTCCAACTTGTCTCTTTGCAAATCGTCATTCCAGCAAAAGCCACCTTCTCTAAAAGTACTTTTCTCTGTAGGTAAGCATAAGAGTCAAGTCCAGTGCAGCAATAGGGTAGATAAAGTAGAAACCACAGGTAATAGTAGATCAGGATTTATTTGTATGCTTCTTACTGATAAATAATAGCTAGTATATAAAAATGTAACAAGGGCATATAGTACCCTTTTGTTGCAAAGAAGGAGATGAATATTTCAAATTACCTGCTAAGGCACATAATTAAGTTACTAACTTCAAATTCTTAATTCCTGACTCATTGCTTAACCTCTATTGCTTTCCAGGGACAATTGATGTTACACAAATCAAGTTTTTCTTTTTGGGGTAATTTTTTTGTCTCATAAGCCCAGCCCCATGCCACTACTACTGCCACTCCCAGAGGAACAGAATGTAAAAAGATACAGAACTAGAAAGAGTAAAGGAATCAGCTGTGTAACCCTGGTAGCTACAATATTTAATTGTAAACTTATGCAAACCATCTAAGGTTAATTTAAGTAAAATCATTGGAAATACTAAGGGTTTTTCAGTCTTAGAAGATTTTCTGGTTTAAAGTTTAATTTTAAGTACTTAAGTAAAATATAATTAATTTAAGAAAAATCATAGCCATTTTTTATTTATACTTGACAAAAGTAGAATTAAGATTCAGGTTTATTTATAACTTTTATACAACAAGACTTATTGCACTCTCTTAACTATGAGCATGCTCAGTTGCAATCAAATGAAAACATAAGGTAAAAAAAAATGAACAAGAGTAACAACCTTAAGAAGTTTTTGTATTTACCAGGGCAGATAGAAGGAAAGCATCTACAAGAGGAATGGCAAGGGAGTAGGAAGACCAGAGTAAGTGATTCATAGAACCCAAAAGAGAAGAGAGATCGACAGTTTGTAGTGTATTTCAAGGGGTGTACAAGAATAAGGACTATGAAAAAGGCCCTTGGATTTCAAGGCTCATGGCTAGCTTTAGTAAGAGTGTATTTAATGGAATAGTAGACACAGAAGCTAAACTATAAGGAAGTAAGGGAGAAAATGAAAGTAAGTGACTATTAGTAAGACTGTTTTTGGAATTTAGGAAGTGAAGATAAGGTGGAAAGAATGAACAATAGCTTATGAGAACAACACAGCAAGGAAAACCAGACTTAAAGTGTTTATGTGTCAATTTGAATGTTAGGTGCTTTTTTTCTCATTATTTCTTTAAATCCACATATCTCTACCTTTGACTGCCTGTCCTACTTAATATTCCTTTTCCCCCCCTCTTTAATATGTGATGAAATAGGAAGTACTCTAAAAGCACCCTGCCACATCCCAAAGTATGGTTGTTACCAGGGAAAAGGCTTGTGGGATTGAGCTGTGAGCGGAACTTGTAGTTTTTTTTTTTTTTTCCTGGAACATCATTTTTACCTAAAATAATAATAATAATAATAATAATAGGCAAGCTACAGTTTTTCAGAAATGGGTATTTGGCAGGCATTTTTTTTTTAAATGAACAATATGTGCCTATCTCTTCAAAGAAAACAACTGTGACAGTATTTGCTGCCAACAATAACTTTTGAACTTTCAATCAAAAATTAAAATTTTGGAAACACTTGTATCCACCACTGAACTTAGTAGTGTCCCCAAACTTTCTGAAAAGATTGGTGACAGTATTAACAATTGTGATTTAAAATGTGATATAAAAGTGCCAACATTTGGGAGATCTGTATAAATCAGTAAACTGTATCTTCCAAAAGACCACTGCAAGATATGATAAAGTCGTATATGGGTGAAAGATCCATTCAGAGGAAAGACAGATAATTCAATTTTAATGTAGCATTGTAAAAAGCTTATTGATATAGTTTCAGATTCCATATTGCAATTTGAAAAACTGTCTCTTGTCAGCGTGGCATACTGTCAAGGAAATACTTGATAATTATCTGAGAAGGCTATTATGACAATATTCCTCCTTTTTCTAATTACATGTCTGTGTGAGGCTACATTTTATTGATATATATCAATTAAAACAACACATGTGATTGGAAATAGAGGTATATAAGAAAACCTAGAGAAATACTGTAAAACTTACATTTAAAAATTTGAAAGAACTGTCACTCTTCACTGTCACTCTTCACTCTACATGTTTTTAAATACTTTTTTGGTACAAGCTGTTGTTTATATTAACACATAATTTGTTTTAAAATGAATTGACTTTTTAATTTTTTTTTTAATTTTTTATTTTATTTTATTTTATTTTTGACAGGCAGAGTGGACAGTGAGAGAGAGAGACAGAGAGAGAAAGGTCTTCCCTTGCCGTTGGTTCACCCTCCAATGGCCGCCGCTGCAGCCGGCGCACCGCGCTGATCCGATGGCAGGAGCCAGGATCCAGGTGCTTCTCCTGGTCTCCCATGGGGTGCAGGGCCCAAGCACCTGGGCCATCCTCCACTGCACTCCCTGGCCACAGCAGAGAGCTGGCCTGGAAGAGGGGCAACCGGGACAGAATCCGGCGCCCCGACCGGGACTAGAACCCGGTGTGCCGGCGCCGCAAGGTGGAGGATTAGCCTATTGAGCCACGGCGCCGGCCTTGACTTTTTAATTTTTATCTTCTTTTTGATTTCTAATATCAACAGCTGTAATATCAATAGATGTAATCCATATAAAACCTCTTTTGGATCTTCAGTAATTTTTACAAATGTAGAGGAGTCCTGAGACCAAAAATTGAAGAACTTCAACCCTAGGCTTCTTTTTAAAGATTTATTTATTTTATTTGAAAGGCAGAGTAAGAGAGAAAGACAGAGACAGAGAGACAGAGCTTGCATCTGCTGGTTCACTCCCCAAGTGGCCACAATGGCCACAGCTGGGCCTGTCCGAAGCCAGGAGCCAGGAGCTTCTTCTGGGTCTCCCACTCGGATTCAGGGGCCCAAGGACTTTGGCTGTCTTCCACTGCTTGCTCAGGTCAGAGCAGAGAGCTGGATCAGAAGTGGAGCAGCCCATATGGGACGCCAGCACTGCAGGGTGGTGGCTTTACCCACTACATCACAGTGCTGGCCCCTACTCTAAACTTTTGTTTAGATATTAGTTAACCATCTTTAAATTCACCCATATTTTTAAAGTTATGTTTATATTTTAATAGCCATAATAATTTTCTTTTCTCTTCTGATGAATGGTTAAGTGCTGTCTCAATTGAAAATTACAACAAATGTGGTAGATAATTTTCAGGATTTTTTAGAAATATGTCACACTGGCTGGTGCCGCAGCTCACTTGGCTAACCCTCTGCCTGTGACGCCGGCACCCCGGGTTCTAGTCCCGGTTGGGGCACCAGATTCTGTCCCGGTTGCTCCTCTTCCAGTCCAGCTCTCTGCTGTGGCCTGGGAAGGCAGTGGAGGATGGCCCAAGTGCTTGGGCCCTGCACCCCATGGGAGACCAGGAGAAGCACCTGGCTCTTGGCTTCGATCGGTGCAGCACCAGCTGTAGCAGCCATGTGGGGAGTGAACCAACAGAAGGAAGACCTTTCTCTCTGTCTCTCTCTCTCTCACTAACTCTGCCTGTCAAAAAAAAAAGAAAAGAAAAGAAAAAGAAATATGTCACACTACAAAAAAGAAAATTAGGAGCAGGCATTTGACACCGCTTTAAGGAACACCTGCATCTCACATCAGCGTGCCTGTGTTTGAGTCTCAGCTCTATTTTCAATTCCAGTTTCCTGCTAATGCACACCCTGGGAGGCAGCAAGTGATGATTCAAGTACTTGGGTCCCCCTGCCACCCACAAAGGAGACCTGGATGAAGTTCCTGGGTCCTGGCTACAGCCTGGCTCAACCCCAGCTATTGCAGACACTTGCGGGGTGAACCAGCAGATAGAAGAGGTCCCCTCCCTCCCTCTCTGCCTTTCAAATAATTAATATAAAGAAATTTTAAAAGATTAAAATTAGTAGGACAGTAAAGATCATGCATGCATGACAGAGTTTCAAATAGAATAGTTATGTTTTAGTTTATTTAAATATTTCTTTTTAAATTCCATCATATAATTATGTGTTTCCCCTTTTATAGAATGTTACCTTATGGTTGTCTGTCAATTGGTGACTGTGTGGGACTTATTGAGGTGGTGAGAAATTCTCACACTATCATGCAGATTCAGTGCAAAGGTGGCCTGAAAGGTGCACTGCAGTTCAATAGCCATACACTGCATCAGTGGCTCAAAGACAAGAACAAAGGAGAAATGTGAGTTTTATTGTTCTTTCTAGATTAGTCTAAGTTTTTTGTTAGATGAATCTGTTAGTGGTTATATATGTTTATATATATATATATATATATATATATCTTAATGGTTGTGTATGCCACAGAAAATAGTTAATCATACTTATTTGGAAAAAATATGCCTCAAACTTTGAAATATATGAGGTTATTATGTTTAGATGATCAAAATTGCTCTTACTTTGATAAAATCCTAGACTTTTAACTTGGGTATCTAAAATATGTTCTTATTATTAGCTCATTTTTTAAGTTAACATTGCACATTTGAATTTCATTTCTAATTCATTATGTAAATGATTAGAAAAATTAATTTTAATGATTTATTTTTCACTATAATAAGCACTATTCTTTGGTCAGAAACATCTAGAAATTTTCTTAGGAACCCTTGAAAATTCCTTAGATTGCTGGACTTCGTTACTTTCTTATGTAATGTCAGTGATTATTTAATTGTTTCAGTAGCAACCTTAACCATCTTTTTTTAAGGTAGCCTGTATCTCTCTATATTTCCACACTACTCATAAGTTATTTCTTTGTAGATATGATGCAGCCATTGACCTGTTCACCCGTTCATGTGCTGGCTATTGCGTTGCAACTTTCATCTTGGGAATTGGAGATCGGCACAACAGTAACATCATGGTGAAAGATGATGGACAAGTAATGGCTTTCTCTCTTTATAATTAGTGCTCTTTAACTGCATTTATTGAGACACTGGATAGCTGCATACAGAAACCATAACATAATTTCTTATTTTTGAAAGCTGTTTCATATAGATTTCGGACACTTTTTGGACCACAAGAAGAAAAAATTTGGTTATAAGCGAGAACGTGTACCATTTGTTCTGACACAGGATTTCTTAATAGTGATTAGTAAAGGAGCCCAAGAATGCACAAAAACTAGAGAATTTGAGAGGTAAGCTGAAGAAATCAAAAGCACAAAATAAAGAATTCTTGCTACAGTACCAGAAGCAGTTGATGTTTTTGAAGCAATTTAGAATAAAAACATGTTGTTTAACAAAATGACTTTTGTAAAAACAATGTTTTAATATTTTTGTTTATCTATTTTGTATGATACTGAGAATTAAAATGGAAAGGGAAATCAGTTTAATCTGGTGAGCTAATTAAGACCTAAAAAGAAAATATTCCTGAATTTCATAACACATTAAAAATTTTTACTTACTGCTATGTGAATAATTGGATTATACCTTCTCTGTATTGACAAACAGTGGCTATTGCCTGGAAGCATTTTTCAGTCATACAATGTGAAGAAGTCAGTGAACTATAATTGCTGTGATTTTTTTCATAATTTTTCTTACCACCTGATGATAGTTTATTAGTTTGTCTTAGTCCTTAAAGTACTTTTTAAAGCCTTTTATAAAATTATTTCTTATCTATAACTCAGTCCTGGCCCTAGCCTAAGCCTAAAAGCTCTATAATGGACCAGTTACTCAACTTCTGATGTGTCAGCTGTTGTTCTAGGTGCTGATGACAACACATAATTAAGTCCTTATCTCATAGAGTTCACATTCTAGTTGGGGAAAGGGAAAAGTGTTGGTGGAGACAGCAGGGAGAGGAATGTGTTTTTTATACTTTCATATTAAAAAGCCTCTCTAATTGTGTAGCATGTGAGCAGAGACCTGGAGGTAATGGCTTCACACTGACCAAACTGTTCTTACTACTTATAGGTTTCAAGAGATGTGTTACAAGGCTTATCTAGCTATTCGGCAGCATGCCAATCTCTTCATAAATCTTTTCTCAATGATGCTTGGCTCTGGAATGCCAGAACTGCAATCTTTTGATGACATTGCATATATTCGAAAGACCCTAGCCTTAGATAAAACTGAGCAGGAGGCTTTGGAATATTTCATGAAACAAATGAACGATGCACATCATGGTGGCTGGACAACAAAAATGGATTGGATCTTCCACACAATTAAGCAGCATGCATTGAACTGAAATGATATCTAAGAAACTGAGAGCTCAATATCTGGATTCTACACCGCACTGTTAATAACTGTCAGCAGGCAAAGACTGATTGCATAGGAATTGCACAATCCATGAACAGCATTAGAATTTACAGCAAGAACAGAAATAAAATAGTATATAATTTAAAATAATGTAAACGCAAACAGGGTTTGATAGCACTAAACTAGTTCATTTCAAAATTAAGCTTTAGAATAATGCGCAATTTCATGTTATGCCTTAAGTCCAAAAAGGTAAACTTTGAAGATTGTTTGTATCTTTTTTTAAAAACAAAACAAAACAAAAATCCCCTAAATATATATAAATGATGGAGAAGGAAAAAGAATGATGTTCTATTTGTCTTGCAAATGCTCTGCGTTTCGACATGTGGATACAACTATAAGGCTGTTATTGCATTAGGACTGAGTCAACTGGAGTTTATGTTGAATTACATAGAATGGAAAAGGATGACAGTTTCTTATTTTTCCATTGCTGTTCAATTTATAGTTTGAAGTGGGTTTTTTGACTCCTTGTTTAATGAAGAAAAGTGCTTGGGGTGGAAGGGACTCTCGAGATTTCTCCAGAGACTTTTTCTTTTTAATAAATCAAACCTTTTGATGATTTGGGGGTCTTATCTGCACAATTTTGGAAGCAGTCACAAATGAGACCTGTAATAAGGTGGTGTTTTTGGTTTTGGGTTTTTTGCTTTTTGTTTCTTTTTGACAGTATTCTTAATACCTAGGGAAATTCTGGGCTCCCACAAAGTGAAGTAATCATCATAGAAACAGAATGAGCAGGAGTAGTTCTCATTCCAGGATTGTACAGTATTCACCTTAAGTTGATTTTTTTTCTCCTTTTGCAATTGAACTGAACACATTTTTCATGCATGTTTTCCAGAAAATAGAAGTATTAATGTTATTAAAAAGATTATTTTTTTTATTAAAGGCTATTTATATTATAGAACTATCATTAATATATATTCTTTATTTACATAATCTGTCCCATAGTCATGCATTGTTTTGCACCCCAAATTTTTTATTGTTGGTGGCAGCATGGTTAGCTTTTCTCTTGGTCTATAGGTGAGGCTCAGGCACTATCCAATTTACACCGTTAACCAGTGTATAACTACTTAAGGAAAGCAGATTAAACTTCATCCTTCTTCCTTTTCTTCGCTTTTGTATTCACATGAATCCCTGATCTTCCATCCTCCTTTATGGTTGAGAATGGCTCAATCATGAAATTAGTTGACAAAATTAACACCATTTAGACTATCTTCCTGAATGCTGAAACCCCTCTATTGAGGTATGCTGATGAATAATACCTTATAATATGGGGAAATAGAAACCATGAACCTTTTACCTTTTTAAGCTATATATTCATATCTGAATAATATAAGTAGGACATTAAACCATTGTAAGGTCATATCCTATTATCAAGTGACCAGAGCTTACTCTCTGTCCTTATTAAATCCCATTTAAGCACAGGACCCATTCTTAAATATGTTGAAAAGCATTAACCAAGATGTAGGAGTTAATGCTAGTCATCACTCTAGAATCTGATATTTTACTCAGTATTTGAAATGAATGGTTAATGTCCTAGGAAATAGCTTTAGCAAATGCCCAGGTGCCACTCAAAAAAAAAAAAAAAGTGCAATAATTTACTGACAGTTTTCTAGATATTATTGGAAAACAACTTTTAAAGAGTGCACACTGTATACTCTAGTACAACATCATCACTTTTAAAGTACTCATTTATGAAATCAGATACCTATAGTAGAAGTCTTGGATAGTGAACAAGGGACTCTAATACAAATATTCTTAATATCTGGCTATTTTAGAACCCTTAAAGGGCATAATTATTGAAGATTTAGGTACTTCACTAAAGCATGTATATAATATTGCCAACAAAAAGATGAATTTGAAAATTAGGGTAACTTCTGTCAACTGTCTTGGAATAGTTAAGCAGAATTTAAACTGTTTTAATGAGGAAACCAAATAGATTATTTTGCAGAGACAGAGTTCATAACTTATTAACACTTCACAGTCAGCATCTTGTATTATTTAGATATAAACCGCCAATGCATACTAATATATCCCCGTGTTTTCTATATCAGGGATAGATTACAGGAAAACTCAGTGAATAGTATAAATCTGAGACTTTAGGGGTAGAAACTGAAGATTTAACAGAGAACTGTGTTTTACCCGAGTGCCAAAACTTTGAGCCTCCCCTCACAGAATTCATACAGTTTTCGCATTTTTTTCACATCAGTCTAGATATTTGCCCACCCATCTTCCCCTAGGTCCTCTCCACCATTAAAACACACAAGCCACATAACTTAATTCATCATTTATATTTATTTTCAAGAGTTATTACAACCAAATTAATTCTATATGATGAAGTATAGACAAATTCTATAAAGAATACAGATTAAGTAAAGAAAGAAAGAAAGGACAGGTAATGCTCAGAAAGGCAGAAAAAACAAGAATCGAATCGAATGCTACACGGGGTGCCTAGGATCTGTTTCAAGTCAGCGACAACATAGCCACTTCCAGGTACTTCAGTATCCGAGATCAGTTCACATGGATTGATCAGTTCCTATAGCCGACCCTCCTTGTCACTGAATATGGTGTGACTGACTTTTGGCTCTACAGTTTCATTGGGTCACTCAAAACTATTTCCTTCAATAATTATTTTGGAGAAAAAATAAATATATTGTAGCAAGAAATAATCAACTGTTTGAAAATCATGCTTTAAACTTTTTACCATATTCTCAGCTATACAAAAACATTTATTTTGAAGATTTTTAGACTGCTGTTAATTTGAAATCTGTTAATTTTATTGTGGAATTTGTTTTTTTTTTAAAAAAAGATGTTTCTAATTGGATTTTTTAAAGAATGGAATTTGGTTGCTATTTTATGATAGAACCTAAGCTTTTTGTGGTTCTTAGTGTCCTCTGTAAAATTTAGTGTCAAAGTAATCAACTTTGAGGTTTTCCCTTCTATTATGCTTTATATTACAAGCCCATTAGGAAATGGGAACCTGGTGAATATATAATGAATTGTAAAATATTTTAATGTGTAATTTTTTCAACTGTGAAACTATGAGTATTGGTTTTTTGATGAAAACAGCTGCTGATCAAGTATCTTGTGTAAAGCGTAGTTCTTATTCATCAGGAAAATGACGACTTGATTAGACTGTATATACCCCCTTGGATTTTACCTTAAATGGATTGGTGACTTTCACATAGGTAAAACACAATCCATCTATATTCTTTTTTCCACCTAAAACTCAGTGCTTTGGCTCATAGAAAAAAATTGTGAGCAGTCTATTTCAAAGGCACCTTGGAAATTTCACAGCACATAAAATTGATTTTATTTTCTGAATGATTTTTGTACATCCAGTTTAATTCATGTTTTAATCGGTAGCCCATCCTTGCCAACTCTTTGATAAATTTAATTTCAGTAGTATTTTAAAACTAGCACATTAACTTCTTCTGAATATTATTCAGTTCCTTTTGTTTCTGTGTCTGCACAATTTTCAGACCTGGGCTGGACCCAAACACTCAAAGTCCACTTTAAAAAATAATTTGGTGTCCAAGACATCACTGAAATAATTCAGTTTAAAGGCAATATGTGGTGTTAATAGATTGTGGTGCTTCTACTATTTAAAGACAACCTTCATACTTCAGATGTTTTTGAAAAAAGGGGAATACGAAGGAGGGGGCAAAACAGGGAGGAGCCATTTGAATGAACTCCATTCTTTGTATCCATCCTGCTCAGATGGGGTGTCTCTAAGAGAAGGCTGAAAGTTGTGGGAAGACGTGAGTACCATGACAGTTAACTCTTCATGAAGGATGGGATTGTGAATGTTGAAATGTAAAATTCAGCATCAACAGTATCGTCAAATAATAATTCTTGGTGACAGAATAATACAGCTGGGCTGTTTTTTAAAACAACAAATGCAAAACCATTTTTAATTATTACATTAAATTGTAAATATATTGTATGTGCCATGGCCTGGGAAGCCTGTTTTCTTTTCTCTTAAAAGTTATTTAACTCTCTGAAAAGATTATAAGGTTTAGCTCAAGATAACTATGGTCCTGACAAAATTGGATGGTTAACTCTACCTCAGAAGACTAATAAGAAAAAAAAAAAAAAAAAAAGATGACTCACAATTCAATACATCAGACAATGTTTTGCAGAGCACTCTATTTTAGAGCTACAAAGACCAGAGTTGGCATGCCTTCTTTTAAATGGAATAGCAGATATTAAGAAAAGATTTAGGCTAAAATTCAGTCATGGCTCCAGCCATTTTGGAAAGGCTATCATGTGAGGAGGTTCATGGTACGAGGTTCTTGAATATGGCATTTAAAATTTGTTTTGTTCTCTTTCTTCACTATTAGTACATCTGATGTGGTGTATTTGCACACATTTCGATTTGTATATACACTGCTTTACCAGTCCTACTCAAGAGACATCTTTTATAAAAGGTGTAAACAAATATCAAAGTTCTAAAATTCCGACGAGTTTAGAATTTATTAGGAGTCTCCCAAGTTGGGATGTTAGTCTTTAAAGACACTTATTTCATTCAAGTATTCCACTTAAGAGTTTTGTACTTCCTTGTTATTAGTACAGCACCATTCCTTTTGTTTGGTTTTAGGTGTGTTGATATTCCAGCATTGCCAACTAGCAGAAAGTGACAAGTGTGAGCCATAAGGATATTTTCTGACAATTTTTTCAGAAGTACATATAAAAGATGTAATGGGAAAAGTAAAAATTAGTGTATTGTATATATAGTGTTAATTAGGTAACTGATTTTCACTACCAACAGTAGCTTCTATTCCTCATGTTGGTAAGTACAGGGAAAGTTTTTAAATGAATTTTGTAAGCCACTTAAAGTCAATGAGTCTGTTTGCAAACTTATTTAATCTGTCACTACGATAATTTTGTGGGTGTGCTAAGACTGTATATTTTTAGGTATTCTTATTTTTGTTAATCCTTCCCCTTAGCAAGAAGGCAGAAAACCTTCAATGTTTCCTATTAACATATCTTTAATAAGATTAAACTCCTCAATTCTAGTATCAATTTCTAAATGTGGTCATTATCTATTGATTTCATATGACAAAATCCCTTATCAAGATTTAATTTATGTTCCTAAGAGTCATTGAAGAACCTGGCCTTCATCTAATTTCTAGAAATGTATTTTGTTATGGAACCCAAGTTTCAAGTGGAATTAGTGGTTTCATTGTAATTCAGTCCTTGGACGTAATTGAGGAGAAAAAAATCTAAAAGAATATATCCTTTTGGGACATAACTTACTACTTTAATATCTTGGGGAATGTAACACTACCAAAAGAAGACTAAAACACATCATATGTTTACTTTGGAAACTTCAACAAAGAACTCAAACCATCCTTTTTGGCCCCATTAATTGTAGCAACTCTATTTCTCTATATTTTGCTCATTCAACGAATTGAAGACCTGTGGTATAATGCATTAGTTAGGAGAAAAATGTTTTAATGTTCTTTTAATGATGACCCAAAAAGTATTTGACACAGCAAGATGCATGTGTTATTATATTGAGAATATAGAATAATTATACAATATCACTAAATTTAAGACCTCTTCCCAGTCTTGCTGTTCCTAGCAAGAAGTTTGGCCTGTGACTGCACTTCCTGTTTGTGCTCATCAGAAACTGTCAATGTCTGCTTTTCTTTAACTTTGCAGTCTGTAACATCACGCTGTTTATTAAAAAACAAAAAAAATTACTTTGACTTGTGTCCAAACAATCCTTAGTGTACTATGTAAACAAAGAACTGTGGTAATTCTGTTTTGACATTTCTTTTGAAAAGCATACCAGTGTTGCTAACAATCAAAATTTAGCTGAATTTGAGTTCTTTTCAATAATAACTAAGAATACTTACTTGAACCCATCATGTCTTAAAAGCCAATTTTTCTGCTGCAGTTAAAGTGATAAATATTAGAGAAGTATAGCATGAAGAATTACATTCTAAGTTGACATGTTTATACATACACCTGTGAATGTATGTAGATTGTGTGTGTGTGTGTGTGTGTGTGTAAGCAGATGGACCAGAATCTAAAAGGCTAAAAGTAAACTGGTTTTTCTGTCAGTTATCATAAACTTTGCAAAAGGTAAGTCTGGGCTTTTCTTTGAGCAGTGATGCACATGGGCATTGATACCAATGTATCAGTGTGTATACTTTTAGGTATATTCTAAGGTAAAAGTATATACATTCTATCAATGTGTATATTTTTAGGTATATTCTAAGCAATTAAATCATTGCATAAATTTTATTTCTTTGCCTCTTAAGATACTTTGAAAAAAAACATTTATTTGAAAGGCAGAGTTGGAGAAGGAGAAACAGATCTTTCATCCACTGATTCACTCCCCAAATGACTAAGTGGAAGCCCAGAGTCAGGACTTTCATCTAAGTCTCCCAAGTGGGTGGCTGATGCCCAAGGACTTGGGCCATCCTCCACTGCTTTCCCAGACACATTAGCAGGAAGCTGGATTGGAAGTGGAGCAGATGGGGCTCAAACAAGAGCCACAACTTCTCTGAACATAAGAGCTCTTTCCTGGGATGGACCAAGTGGACACTGAAATTGAAAACTGCGGTATTTGGAACATAAACTTTAGATTTCAGATAATGGTTTTGAATTTGTTCACAGGAAAAAAATTCAGTAATCGTATATTGTTAAGTGAAAAATGTACTAAGAAATAGAATAGAGGTGTCCTTAATTTAAGAAAACTACAGAATCGTGGTTTGCTGAATGATTTCAAATGTGCGTGCATACATGTTTTATTAGAGAATTATTTAGTATGCAAAATAATTTATCACAGCCTTTATACAGCACATGCTGGGGTTTAGATATATGTCACATTTAGTCAAGAAAGGGGAGCAGGCGTGCAGAATCCTCTCTTGCAAGCCTCCTGCTCTATGCTCTGTACCAGCTGTTCACTAAAAAGTGCCATGGCAGACTGAATATTGCAACTTAGCACAAGATTTTTTCTTTATCTGAACATTTTTTAACACCTCTACTAGATGCCAGAAACTAAGCCAGATGTTTCTCACACACCCTCGCCTTGTTGTTTCCTTAAAAGAACCTCATGAAAGAAGAGGTTATCCCCATTTTATAGATAAGAGTGATTCAGACCATTGAGCTGATTTTCCTGAGAGTAACCTACCTAAAAAGCTACAGTTATTGCCTACAAATACAAATAAATCCTACACATGTTTTTCTCCAGCACTCCACAGGAGAAAACAGGAGACACCAAGATTGCTCTTTACTGCATAAATCTGTATTAGTCTATCTATTGTTTAGGAATTCCTGACTTGAAAGTAATTGATGAGGCATGAAACTATGTAGAATTAGTTTTTGGTTTGATTACATCTACATGTAGAAGTTGCTTTCAAAGTCTCATTCTTCTGATTGTCCATGATTTAAGACTTTTTAGTAAAATTTTATAGATACTTGGAGGCACATGGGAAAATCAGAACAAAGCTTGATCTGCGAAGCATTTGTTGGGAGTGCCTTATACCGCCATTATTTAATAACCATGATTGATTAAAGTACAGGCAACTGCTGGCTCTCTTCTCAGGATTCTCTCCAGTGTGGATTATCTGAGGTGAATGTTGAAATGCAGTACAGCTCCTCCCTACTGCACAACGCATTGCCAGCCTTTTCTCCCACTCCCAACAGGATGTACACAAGGGATAACATGAGCTTATGAAAAACATAATTAACTGGAAAAACGTTGCTGAAAGACAAATTACATGGTACATGGCAAGGTTAAGTATAAATAACTCTAAACTTAGTAAATCTAGGCAGCAGCTTTCTTCATCATGAATGGTGATGAACAAACTATAATAAATATGTTAAAGTCTACATTTTTACAATTTTCTGCCAAAGCTTCATCTTCCGTAGTGAATGTAATGCTCATGACAGATTTTGTATGAGAAATATTGTCATGTGAGCTATACTACATAGAGTGAGGCAGAAAGTTCAGTGCTCAATAGACTAGATGCCTTCAGTATTTCCATATTTACAAGTTCAAACTAGAGCAGAATAACTCCGTTGAACTCATTTTGCCACAAGGGAACAAGAAGTGCTTCCTTGGCTCGTTGTGGAAACAGATTTGAAGTAGAAAACGTGGTGAATTTGTATGTATGTATAGAATAAACATAATACATAATGAGGCGTTTCAAAAATTTTTCCCACACATGAAAATACGATTACCCAACTACATGGTTAGTTTGCAAGCAGGCATAATTAGGCCTTCAACCGCAGAAACTGCAGGTGTCTGTGTGAAGGCCAGTACTTTAATTTGGCCACCATCTTAAAATTTCTCTGCTCCTTCCACCGCTTCTCCCTGAACTCCACAGTTTGAGTTGGTGTTGCTCTGTATGGGGTGCTTTGCCACCTACCTCATCTCTGACTGCAGGCTGTGTTTTTCACACAGTAGGGACAGGTGCTGTGTTAATCTCACCATGCCAATGATCAGGATACCACCTACCAGAGTCAGTGAAGGCCAAAATAAACAGTGGAAGATAACCATTTGGTCATACTTTTTAGTGAGAACCACGTCTTCAGATTGGCTGTCTGGGCTGTAGAAGCACGAAAAGGGGGTCCCATTTTTGTGATCGAAGAATTCCTTTATGTCCCGAGCACTGTTGAGCAAATCATTCCCATCCCGGTGGCACTTGGGTGTGTAAAAGCACTAGGAATATGGAGGAGAGAAAAGGCAAGGACACTGTCACCAACACCAAGCGCCTAACAATTTTAATTCTGAAACTGCTGAAGCTATTAGTTTCAATCTTAAAAGATGATTAAAAAAAAAATAGTACATAGCCTCTAGCAAACGGTTGGCAGGAGGACAGTGAAATGGATGTTCCCAGATGCCGTGCAAAGGATGTGGGAAGGAATTCGTAACATTATATGATACTGCAGGAGACCAACCTCATACTGTGTCGTCTGCCCCCATCTTTTCCTGAACAGTAACCCACCGAATCCATTTGTTCATTCAACAAACAACACCTGTCTATAGGAAAATCTCTTCCTAACGAATAGCACATTGAGACTTTTGCCCTCGGCCCACAGAGAGGGAGTCCCACTTTGGGGTTTGGGTCCTGGGAGGTAGAACCAGTGGAGAAGAAAGAAGCTCTGTCAGCTGATCATTTTTTAAAAAAACTTGAGGTTTATCACCATACCCATTAGGCACTTGTGCTATGCTACAAGAATGTTTTGAGACCTTAAAAATTATTGCATCTAAACTAGAAAACAGGAATACTCAGATTGAAATTAGTGCTTGATTAAGGACTCCAAAGAGTTGGCCGGTGCCGCGGCTCACTAGGCTAATCCTTCACCTGCGGCGCTGGCATCCCGGGTTCTAGTCCCCATTGGGGCGCCGGATTCTGGCCCGGTTGCTCCTCTTCCAGGCCAGCTCTCTGCTGTGGCCAGGGAGTGCAGTGGAGGATGGCCCAAGTGCTTGGGCCCTGCACCCGCATGGAAGACCAGGAAGAAACACCTAGCTCCTGGCTTTGGATCAATGCAGTGCGGCGGCCATTAGGGGGTGAACCAACGGAAAAGGAAGACCTTTCTCTCTGTCTCTCTCTCTCTCACTGTCCACTCTGCCTGTCAAAAAAAAAAAAAAAGGGACTCCAAAGAGTAACAGGCCAACTAATCTAACACAACTCAACTTACAGTTAGGTGTAAATATAAACTTTAATAAGTCATATAAACCAGTTGTGTAACTTACTAAAATTATAATTTTGAAATTTGGTTAAAGAAAATCTCTTGCTTGATTTAAGGTAGACCAAGTATGTTGTCACATGTTTGACCCAGTGGGTAGTGAGGTCTTGAGAAGGACTGCCCACAATTTCCTCATTGGCTAAAACTGTAAGTTCCAGATGGCAGCTTATGAAATCAGAATAATTCCTCTCCTTTCTATGTGCTCAATTTCTCCTCCAACAATACTTTTATTTATCTTCATTTACACTTTTATTTAGCTTCATTTATCCTCACTTAACCACTGTAAAATTATTCACTAGAAGGAAACAAATTTGCCTGCTAGGATCGGCACTGGGTTCGTCATCCTGCGTGGGGCAGTCTGGCATGGAAGGGTTGCTATACTAAGAGCTCTTTAATTTCATGAACTTGTCATTACCTCGGAATTTATCTGGGCAGCCTCTTCATTGTAATGTAGGAGAGCTTTCTGACCCGAGTGGGTGAGGTTCACAAGCACCTGAAGACAGGGGTACTTGCCCTGACCTCGGCAGTCCGCGCCACAGGTGAAAACACAGTCCAGCCAGTCATCCATGATGTGTGTGTGGATGGTAGTGCAGTTCGACTCTTCTCTCTGAGTGCTTCAATTTAAAAAACAAAAAATTTCTCCACCTACTAGAAATGCAGTTTACGTGTCCACTGTGGCATCCCAGGGCAGCTGTCTATTTCAAGGTAATATAGGATCATTAAGAGCACAAAATGCTCAGGGAGCATGGAGGTGACAGAGACAGGGCGAACACCAGTACATTACCAAAACTCATCTCAATTCTGCTCCTACTGGTGTATTTCTCACTGTACCAACCCTTATAATGGCTGTCAAACTTCAGAATCACCCAAGGGGCCAGCGCTGTGGTGCAGCGGTTAACGCCCTGGCCTGAAGTGCCGGCAATCCCATATGAATTGGCTACTCCACTTCCAATTCAGCTCTCTGCTGTGGCCTGGGAAAGCAGGCCACCCACGTGGGAAACCAAGAAGCTCCTGGCTCCTGGCTTTGGATCGGCACAGCTCCGGCCGTGGCAGCCAATTGGGGAGTGAACCATCGGATAGAAGACCTCTCTCTCTCTCTCTGCCTCTCTCTGTGTAATTCTGACTTTCAAATAAATAAATAAATCTTTTTAAAAAATCACCTAAATAAATTTGTTAGGATGTGTTAAAATGTGGATTCCAGGGTTTCAATCTGAGAGATCCTAGCACAGGAGGTCTGAGTTAAGATCCAAGAATCTGTTTATTGAATATTATTTAGATGCAGTTATTTGAAGAACCCTAAATACTATAACCACCAAGAGCCATACTCACTTAGAAATCCATGCTTCATCATATCAAAATACACCCACTGGCTTGTCCTGATGAAAATGTGCCTTTGAGAATCTAACTACAGGTCTTTCAGCATAGTCTCCGGAAGTTCTAGCAGCAAGGTGCAGGTCTGTGGGCCCATTCTACTTCTAAGTAGGCAAATGTAAAACAGGAGTGTGTCTTGGAAAACCCGTGGTTTTGCTGTCAGGCTGTGGAGGCCAGGAGCTACAGCCTGCTCGTCTTTATGCTCCTCAAAGTGTTAAGCACAATGTCTCAGATGAGATGCTCTGCGAGACTTGTACTGAATTAAATATTACTTGGAAAAAGTTCCTTGAGAATTCGCACAAGCACTGCATACGCAGGATGTCCTAGATGCGAGAGAGGTGGAAGGCAAAATCCCTCTCACAAACACCTTGTGGTGGTGGTGGTGAGGAGAAAGGACAAATACGTACAAATGTGTAATCAGAGAACAGGGCCAGGATAAAGTAAATGAGGGAGAGGAAATGCTTTGATTGCATGTTGGGACCAGCTTCTTGCTCACCAACACACTTATCTTGGTGGGTCTTTGTGTTAGTTTCCTAGAGCCTTAGAAGTTAGATTACCAAATTCCGCAGGCAAATTGTTTGAAAAGGATTATCCAGCTATGTTCATACTGTATTTTCCTTAATATCTAAAACAATAAATAGATTCATAAATATCTGGAACTAACTTTCTTTGGTAATACACTTTTTTTTTTAAAGATTTACTTATTCATTTGAAAGTTAGAGTTACACAGAATGAGGAGAGGCAGGGCAGGGAAGGGGGGTCTGCCATCCGCTAGTTCACTCCACAGCTGGTCACAATGGCAGGAGCTGCACCAATCCAAACCCAGGAGCCAAGATCTTCTTCTGGGTCTCCCACATACGTGCAGAGGCCCGAGGAGTTGGGTCATCTTCTACGCTTTCCCAGGCCATAGCAGAGAGCTGGATCAGAAGTGGAGCAGCCGGGACTCTAACTGGCGCCCATATGGGATGCCGGCACTGCAGGTGGCAACTTAACTCACTACACCACAGTGCCAGGCCTGTAATATAACACACTTGAGATGTACCATGACTACAAGGCCTAAGGCATAAAAACCACTGAATGTGGCCTAATAAAAAATACTGGACAACTGAAAATACAAAAATGAAAGATACGGTTCTCTCATAGCACAGGCTTGTTTTTTCACCAAATTAATTTGTATATTTATTTAAACTAGGCATCTTGAAGTAATAATTTAATGTTGCCTGTTTATTTCTTAAAATTAAAGATCTATGTTGTGGGCGTGTGACACAACAGGTTAAGCTGCTCTTGGGTTGCCCACACGCCATATCTGAGTGCTTGGTTGGAGTCCCGGCTCTTCTGCTTTCAATCCTGCTTCCTGCTAACGTACCTGGGAGGCAGCAGATGGTAGCCCACGTAGTTGAGTCCTTGCCACCCATGTGGGAGACCTGGATGGAATTCTAGGCTCCTGGCTTTGGCCTAGCCCAGCCATGGCTGTTGTGGGCATTTGGAAAGTTGGAAAGTGAATCAGTGAACAGAAGATTCTTTCTCTCTTCTCTCAAATCTTAAAAAAAAAAAAAAACTTAAGCTCCCTAAATCCTCCTGACCAAGTGCCGACCTAAGTAGGATATTAATATTTCTTGAAGATTTTTAGAAAATTACAATATAGTGAAACATTCCGGCCTTTCAGGTGGAACCAAGAATGTATTTAGAGGGGCCACAGCTGTGGCATAGCAGGTGAGGCCACCGCCTGCAGTGCCGGCATCCCATTCAGGTGCCAGTTCAAGTCCTGGCTACTCCACTTCCGATCCAGCTCTCTGCTATGACCTGGGAAAGCAGTAGAAGATGGCCCAACTCCTTGGGCTCCTGTACCTGCATGGGAGACCCGGAAGAAGCTCCTGGCTCCTGGCTCCTGTCTTTGGATTGGTGCAGCTCCAGCTGTTGCAGCCAATTGGGGAGTGAACCAGTGGATGGAAGACCTCTCTCTCTCTCTCCTCTCTCTGTGTAACTCTGACTTTCAAATAAATAAATAAATATTTTTAAAAAGATCTATTTATTTTGAAAGAGTTACAGTGAGAGAGCGAAAAAGAGAGATCTTTCATCCACTGGTTCACCCCCGAGATGGCCACAACAGCTAGGGCCAGGCCAGGTTAAAGCCAGGAGCTTCATCTGGTTCTCCACATGAGTGACAGGAACCAAAACACTTGGGCCATCTTCTGCTGCTTTTCCCAGGCCATTAGCAGAGATGGATCGTTAAGTGGAGCATGTGGGACATGAATCAGCACCCAAATGAGGTGCTAGCCTTACAGGTGGTGCCACAGTACTAGTTCCCAGCTTACTTTGTAAAATGATGCATGTGGGAGATTTTTTAAAAGATTTATTTACTTATTTATTTGAAAGCAGAGTTACAGAGAGAGGAAGAGAGAAAGAGATCTTCCATACTCTGGTTCACTCCCCCAATGACTGCAACAACTGGAGTTGGGTCAGGCTCAGTCCAAAGCCAAGAGCCTGAACTCCATCTGGATCTCCCACGTGAGTGGCAAGGGCCCAAGCAGTTGAACCATCTTCTGCTGCTTTCTTAGGTGCATTAGCAGGAAACTGATTGGAAGTGGAGCAGCTGAGACTCAAACCAGCACTCATATGGGATTCCAGTGTTACAGGCAGCAGTCTAACCTGCTGTGCTGCAGTGCAGCTCCCTGGGAGAAATTTGGAGGACACCTTGTGCAAGATGGCACAAAAATTGTTGCTCATATTTAAAGTCTACTTAGTTTTTCTGGAAATTATTTGGTTAAATCAATTAAGTGAATACCCACATGGGTGCCAGTTTGTGTCCCGGTTGCTTCTCTTCTAATCCAGCTGTCTGCTTATGGCCTGGGAAAGCAGTAGAGGATGGTCCAAGTGTTTAGGCCCCTGCACCTATGTGGGAGACCTGGAAGAAGCTCCTGGTGCCTGGCTTTGGATCAGCACAGCTCCAGCTATTGAGGCCATTTGGGGAGTGAACCAGCAAACCCTCTCTCTCCCTCTCCCTTTCTATAACTCTGCCTCTCAAATAAATAAATAAATCTTTAAAAAAATATTTTTCTTGCACTCACAAAGAGTGCTTTGTTTTTTTCTGGTAAACCAGGAAACCAGCATTTTATACTTTAATTTTTTGTTTGTTTTTTGAAAAGCCAGAGAGAGAGAGAGAGCAAGCTTCCATCCTCTGGTTCACTGCCAGATGCCTGAAACCAGGGCTGGGCCTGGCAAATGCTAGGAGCCCAGAGGTCTCCCATGTGTGTGGTAGAGACACAACTACCTGAGCTATCACCTGCCTCCCAGGGTTTCCGTTAGCAGGAAACTGGAATCAGAAGCATGGCTAAGACTTGAACCCAGACACTTAAATATGGGATGCAGGTATCCCAACAGATGTCTTTACTGTGCCAAACATTCACCTGGAAATTGACATTTGAAAGGGTGAGCTTATGAACTATATGAGTATCTAATGTCTGGGTTATCATATGTTGAAATATATGTAGATTATGAGATGTGTGAGGGGTGCAAATACCTTCCATTTTCTTACCACTTCCCTCCACATCCAGCTTTCCCCAGCGCTGAGAGAGTAACAGGTCATTGATTGTTCCCTGTCCTGATCTGCTGTCACAAGAGTTAAGACCAGAGAGGGGCTGGTGCTGTGGTGTAGCAGGTAAAGTGCCAGCATCCCATATGGATACCGGTTCAAGTCCCGGCTGCTCCATTTCTGATCCAGCTCTCTGCTATGGCCTGGGAAAGCAGTGGAGGATGGCCCAAGTCCTTGGGCCCCTGCATCCATGTGGGAGACCCAGAAGAAGCTCCTGGCTCCTGGCTCCTGGCTCCTGGCTTTGGATTGGCGCAGCTCCAGCCCTTGTGGCCATTTGGGGAGTGAACCAGTGGATGGAAGACCTCTCTCTCTTTCTCTGCCTCTCCCCTCTCTGTGTAACTCTGACTTCCAAATAAATAAATAAATAAATCAAAAAAAAAAAAAAAAAAAAAAAGACCAGAGAAACAAAAGCCATCCTCCCCTCCTTTACCTTTTTTTCAAAGAAGATTCACTTGAATGAATTAGAAAGAGGGAGAGAGAGAGAGAGAGAGTGCGCGCTTCCATCTACTGGTTCACCCCCCAGATGGTGGCAATGGCCAGAATCCAGGAGATTGATCTGGGTCTTCCACATGCATGCAGGGGCTCAAGCACTTGGGTCATCTTCCACTACTTCTCCCAGGCCATCATCAGGGAGCTGGATGGGAAGTGGAGCAGCGGGGACTTGAACCGGCACCCATATAGGATGCCAATTTTGCAAGTTGGACTTAACCTGCTGTGCCACACACCAGCCCCCACTCCTTTACCCTTGGGCCTAGGACTGATCTGAATTGGAAACTCTGGATCACATTTCTTACCTAAGCATGAAAGGCTTTAGGATGGTAGTTCCAAGCAAGAAGAACATGAGGACCGAGAAGCCCATCATAGCAAACCCCAGCAACATGGCTCGGTCCTCTCCAGCACTGGACGGCAGCTTCTTGTGCACATCAGGCAGGTCTCCATCATTGTGGTGGACATATGTACTCTTTCCTGAGGCAGAAAAGACTGTCCTGGAGGGAGAGAAGAGGAAGTACTGCAATAAGTTCATTTGTACGCAGGGGAAACATTTACCAACCCATGGAGGGAGAGGGTGAGGGAGAAGAGAGGGGGAAGGAGATGGGGGAGGGAGAGAGGAGGAGGGGAAGAGGGGGAGGGGGAGAGGAGGAGGGGAAGAGGGGGAGGGGGAGAAAGGGGGATGGGGAGGGGGAGAGAGGGGAGGGGAGAGGGGAGGGGAGAGAGGGGGAGGGAGAGACAGGGGGAGGGAGAGAGGGGAGAGAGGGAGAGAGGGGGAGGGGGAGGGAGAGGCTTCTCTGTGCTGAAGGCCATGAACAAGTTCAATGCAACACAATGAGATCCTCCATCAGAGCAGAGTGAAAAGCCCACCCAACCAATGAAAACCACATGTTATCAAATATTTTTATTTATTTATTTTTAAAGAATTATTTATTTATTTATTTGAAAGAGTTACACACAGAGAGAAGGAGAGGCAGAGAGACAGGTCTCCCATCTGGTGGCTCACTCCCCAGTTGACCGCAACAGCCAGAACTGTACAGATCAGAAGCCAGGAGCCAAGAGCTTCCTCTGGGTCTCCCACACAGGTGCAGGGGCCCAAGGACTTGGGCCATCTTCTACTGCTTTCCCAGGCCATAGCAGAGAGCTGGATCGGAAGTTGAGCAGCCAGGACTAGAACTGGTGCCCATATGGGATGCCAGCACTGCAGACTGCAGCTTTACCTGCTACACCACAGCACCGGCATAATCAAATATTTTTAACAATACTGTAACAAACAAGACCAAGGAATGCTGCCAACTGGAGGTCTTCAGAGATCTGTTTAGCCGGTGACTAGAAAAGAATTGCCTAAAAGTAGCTGTCGTTTATTTTGTGTAAACAAGTGTTAGGGACTTGTCTGTTTTAGGGATATTGCACATTCCTTCTGAAAATATTTGTAACAGTCCCCTATAAATTCCAAATGGAAAGAATGATGCAAAAGTTGACATTCAGAATTAACATCATCCTGAAATAATAAGGTTTGGTTCTTTCATTTTCACTCATTGGAAAGGCACCGATCCCACTGGACCCTCTGGCCCATGGCCCAGAGCCCTCAGAATTGGGAAATTTCCACTGCTGTCCTCTCCCTTCACCCTTCTTGTCCTGCTCCCTGTCCACTCGCAGCTGTGTGAGGTCCCTGCATTTCTGCTGTCCCTGTCTCTGCTCTGCCTGAAATCTGTTCCAGCAAAGTTGTGATCAACTCCTTCACAGCAGGGCATGTAGCCAACAGTGCAGTCCAACACGAAGGCCGCACACTGGCAGTTGTGGAAGCATCCTGCCCATGCATGCACTTTGCTGGGCCTTCTTGGTGAGTTTATTAAAATGTGGAATTAGTTGCCAACACTTTACAAACCATGGCATTTCTCATAAAAAAAAAAAAAAACACAGCTGAGTTATGACTTCTGGGGAAAACAAATCACAAGACATCCACGTTCCTGCACATGAATAACTGGCCAAGCAGCAGCCTCCCCGTGAGCAGGGTGTGTGTTCCAGTTTGCGACAGTCTCACCACTGTCTATGGTCCGTGTCACTGAGCTGTTGTTCCCTGCTCAGGATCTATGAGTCCCAGAGGCATTGCTATTTTCAGAGACTTAATGAAATCTGAAACCAAACAAATGCAATTCTAACTCGGGCTCCATCAAGCTGCCAAAACATCAGACGACATTTTGGAGTGTAGCAAAAACACTCTCAAGGGTGTTGCTGGTTGTCTTTCCTACCTTATCCTGGCCTTTGCCCCTTGTTCTCCCTGGCTTCTCTTTCATCAGACTCTGGATTGAGCCGGGGGCATGTCGGGAATCCAGGGCGTCCTAGGAGCCAGCTCTGGGAAGCACTGACCTCAGAAGACAGCGGTCCTGTGTGGTTATTATTTCTTTGGCAGTTAAGGATCTGTTTTGGGAATGTTTAGTCCCCATTGATGTTTTACTCATCCTCTATCATCCCACTGTTAGGGGCCGGCCATGGAAAGAAATTCTAATGATTTTTGAACCAGTGTACTTTATAATTTGTCCATAAATGATAGATCAATTAAGACAGCTTTAGCTCTATAATAAGATTTGAGTGTTTTCTGATGCCCACACCTGCATTTTCCCTTGTGCTGTAAATTGGAATTTAGTTGTGTATTTTAATGTGTCCTAGAGACTGAAAAGATTTATAACGTGATCTCTACGGCATTTCAATACATTCATTTAGTATCCCCTATTATCATGGTATGTTACGTGAAACCAGCATTGTCTGATTCCAATCTAATTTAGAAATAAGACAAATCTGGTAGCATCCTAGATCAGACCTTCTATTTATCATGCATCTGTCCATTTTGTTCCAAGGCTTAGATGAAGAGTTGGCAGCCATATAAAGAAATTATTCTAGGAGGGCATTTGGTGCAGTGGTTAAGAAAACACATGGAATGCCCACATCCCCTGTCAGAATACCTGTTTTGAGTCTGCTCAAACTTCCAATCCAGCTCCCTGCTAATGGCCTGGGAAAGCAGCGGAGGATGGCCCAAGTGCTTGGGCCACTGCACCCACATGGGAGACCTGGAGGAAGTTCCTGAATCCTGACTTCTGCCTGGTCCAGCCCCAGCTGTAGCAGCCATTTGAAGAGTGAACCAGCAGATAGAAGAGCTCTGTGTGTGTGTGTCTATCTCTCTCTGTGTAACTCTGACTTTCAAATAAATAAATAAATCTTTTTTTCAAAATTCTCTTTCTGTCTCTCCCTCTCTCTCTGTAACTCTGCTTTCAAATAAATAAATTTTAAAAAACCTTTAAAAACAAAAAATTGCTACTAATTTTTAAGGAGTATGTACTGTCATTCAAAAGTCATGAGGCTGGCACTGTGTCATAGTGGGTAAAGCCACTGACTTCAATGCCAGCATCCCATATGTGCACCTGTTGGAGTCCCAGCTGCTCCACTTCCAATCCAGCTCTCTGCTATGGCCTGGGAAAGCAGTAGAAGATGACCCAAGTGCTTGGGTCCTTGCACCCACATGGGAGACCCAGAAGAAGTTCCTGGCTCCTGGCTTCAGGTTGGCCCATTTAGGGTGTACACCAGCAGATGGAAGACCTTTCTCTCTCTCGCTTTCTCTCTTTTTCTCTCTGCCTCTGCCTCTCTGTAACTCTGCCTTTCAAATAAATAAATAAATATTTTTAAAAAAAGTTATAAGACACATGGGGAAATAGGGTCCCTTAATACAAATTATTATACAGTAGAATCAGATCCACATAAAATTCAGATATTTGAACAGAATATAAAATATATACTGCAGTATTTTTAAAGAAATAGGAAAGGACTGAATATATCAGAAATACAAAAAGACTCCAAAATATGACCAAGCTAATATAAAAAAGAATCAAGCAGAATTTTTAGAAATGAAAAATGAAACAGTTGAAAGGAAAACTTAATGGACAGATTTAACATTCCATTAAATATAACTGAAAAGATAATTAGTAAACAAAGAGCTGAGCTCTATCTACAAAGTAGCAACAGTACAATAGACTGGTTTTTAAGTGAAAAGAAAATCCAATGCCAGAACTTGTAAAGGACCCAGTTTGCAGTTTCCAGCTTCCCCAGAGGAAACAATGAAAAGCAACCACACCTGGACAACATCACAGGTGCATTGCAAGCCAAAGACAAGAGAAAAATCTCAACAGCAAGGGAAAGACAGATTAGCCTCAAAGGAATTACAACTAGGCTGAGAGCCCACTTCTCTGTCTGTAATAAGAATGGAAGCCAAAAGGCAGGAACATTGTTGATGCACTGAGAAAGTGACTAACAGAATTCGACACCTAGCAAAGCTTTCTCAAGCTTATGCAGTAAGTGAAGACATTTCAGACATACACAAAACTGAGTTTGCCCTCAACAGCCCCTCCCTAAAGGAAACATTCAAGAATTTAAGCTAATGGGGCTGATGGTGTGGCCCAGCAGGAGTGCCAGTTCAAGTCTTAGCTGTTCCACTTCCAGCCTCCTGCTAATGTGCCTGAGGAAGCAGCAGAGGATGGCCCAAGTGCTTGGGACCCTGCCACCACATGGGAGAATCAGATGGAGTTCCTGGCTCCCTGCTTCGGCCTGGCCCAGCCCTAGCCATTATAGTCATTTGGAGAGTAAACCAGCAGATGGAAGACCTCTCCCTCTAATGTTGCCTTTCAAAGAAATAAATAAATCTTAAAAGAGTCTAAATGGAGTAAATGACCAAGTTAAAGATTGCCAGAATTTCAGAATTGATTTAAGTTTTATATTTACATGTTTACAAAAGGGACATCTAAAATACACAGAAAGTGAAAAGTTAAAAGTCTTCAGGAAAAATGTAAGAAAATCAAGATACTATGAATCTTAAGATTTAAAAGCTTCAGTTCCTGGTTCCTGGGCTTTGAGGTGGTGAACCACCACTTCCCCAGTGGATGAGAAGTCTCTCTCCATGTCTGTTGCTGTCTCTCTGCCTCTCAAACAAAACAAATAAATAAAATTTTTGGAAAAGATTTAAATGTTCCATTAGAAATAAAGAAAGTAATAAGGTTCAATTCACCTGGAAGATGATTTGTTATTAATATTATTTTGTATGTACCTAATAGAATTGCTTCATTGATAGAACTGTAAGAGAAGTAGATAAAATCCACTATCAGATTATAAGGTATTTTTGCATACTACCTGAGTAATTGGTAGCTCAACCAGACAAATTAGTAAGAAAATAGATATGAGCAAAGCATCGGCAAACTTTAGCTCAATGATGGAAAATTGTCCTCTATAAAAAATACATTCTTCTCAAGTATATTTCATTTACAAAACCTCATCCCAAATTTGGCCATAAAGAAAGGCTCACCAGGGGCCAGCTTGGTGGTACAGTCAGTGGGCTAAGCTGCCGTTTGCGACACTGGCATCTCAGACACTAGTTCAGATTCTGGCTGTCCCACTTCTAATACAGCACCCTGAGGCATGGAAAGGTGGTCCAAGTGCCTGGGTCCCTGTTACCCATGTGCAAACCCAGATGGAGTTCATGTTTCTCCTGCTCTCTCTGCTGCTCTGCCTTTCAAATAAATAAATAAATCTTAAAAAAAAAAAAGGGGGGGGAGGGGGTGCTGGCCAGCGCTGTAGCTCACTAGGCTAATCTTCCGCCTGCAGCGCCAGTACTCCAGGTTCTAGTCCCGGTCGGGGCACCGGATTCTGTCCTGCTTGCTGCTCTTCCAGTTCAGCTCTCTGAACTGGGAGGGCAGTGGAGGCTGGCCCAAGTGCTTGGGCCCTGCACCCGCATGGGAGACCAGGAGGAAGCACCTGGCTCCTGGCTTCGGATCAGCGCGGCACGCAGGTCGTAGCGGTCATTTGGGGGGTGAACCAATGGAAGGAAGACCCTTCTCCCTGTCTCTCTCTCTCACTGTCTAACTCTGCCTGTCCAAAAAAAAAAAAAAAGAAGAAGAAGAAAGAAAGCCTCACCAAATGCAAAAGGATTCATGAAAGTAATAATATATTTTTCATATGTGTACTAGCTGGAACTTGGAAAATAAGGAAAAGTCTATGGAAGAGACCAAAACAAAACCCACAATTCTACCTCTTAGAGGTCATTGGTGTCCACCAGCTGGGTTGTTTCCTGTCTTTGTAAGCTAGTCCCCGCTTTTCCATGGGAACACTTTCCAAGACCTACGATGGAGGCCTGAAACCATAGCTAGTACCAAACCCTATATACACCATATTCATTCTACATCTGCATAGCTATGATACAGTGTGATTTATAAATTAGGCATAGTAAGTGGTTTACTACAATAACAATCAAATAGAATAATTAAAATAATGTACTGTAATAAAAGCTATTTAAAATTTGTAAATTATTTCTGGAATTTTCCATTTAATATTTATGTACTATGGTTGACTGTGGGTAGCTTAAACATTGGAAAGCAAAATGACAGAGAAAGGGGGCTAGTGCATTATAGAATGAGAATCATACTAGTTATAGCTTGGATCCTTTTTGAATCTTGTCTTTTCCATTTAGCATAATAAACACCTTCTCATGTTATCCCAATTTTTCGTGACCCTTCTATTGGCTGCATACTGTTCTGTCAGTTGGATATGTTTTAATTTGATAATCATTTTTACTGTTGAATATTATTAGGTTGCTTCTAGTTCTCTGAGACCATAAATAGTCCTGTAAACAACTTTGTGGTACTTAAAAGCACCTTGCATCCAAGGGTAAGAAGCATTGTTACTCTTTTTACTTGTAACTCAGGTTTTCCTTTGAGATGTTTTTATTCAAATCGAGCAGTATCTGCTGGCTGTTGTTGCCTTCACTACAGATAGGAGGACTGAGTACAACACTGAGCCCCTGCTGGTTTGCCCTAAGGCAAAATTGACTACAAAGAGGTTGAACTCTCATCTGGGTGTGATCCCTATGAAGTCAGCAGCCTCTCGCTTCACTGAATTTGTGCAAGAAGCATTCCTTAGGAAGAAGTATTGGGGCTGGCTGGCATTGTGACGGACCACCTGCAGTGCCGGCATCCCATATGGGCACTGGTTTGAGTTTCTGCTGCTCCACTTCTGATTCAGTCCCTTCCTAATGTTCCTGAGAAAGCAGTGGAAGATGGCCCAAGTGCTTGGGCCCCTGTACCCAGTGGGAGATCCAGAAGGAGCTCCTGGCTCCTGGCCTGGGATTGGTCCAGCCCCAGCTATTACAGCCATTTGGGGAGTGAGCCCACGAATGGAAGACCTCTCTCTCCCTCTTTCTTTCTGTAACTCTGCCTATCAAATAAATAAAATAAATCTAAAAAAAAAAAAAAAGAAAGATGCACCAGAATTCATATAACATTCATCTCATATGTGAATGTAACTTTCAAGCATTAAATTAATATTTCCCTGTAATTTGTTTTCCTTGCAAAGAAGACTTTGATAATTATTTTACCCTTCTTTTTTTAAATTTACAAAATTATTTAACAACTTATTTCGAAACAGCAAGAGTGTCCTCAAAGCAACACAATATCCTATTTTTATTTCTGAAATGCCCTATTGAGTTAGTGCTCTGTCCTGCTGAACTTCATGAACCACGCTGACTTTACTCAATCTCATTTGCTGTTTCCTCTGTAGTCTGTCTGTCCCTTCCTCTCCAAACTCCAACTCCCTCTACACCCCTATATCTCCCGCTCCTCCTGCATTCTCTCCCAAATTCTCATGCATATTATTAAAGGCTGATGGAAGTGCATCCCCCAAGACCATTACGACCTTTCATGTTTCCCCTGCTCAGCTCCCAAGTTCACTTGAGACATGAAAAAATCATCCAAGTTTCCAGACAGTGAGTGAACCTGGCTTTACGCATTCCCTTCCCAAGAATGAGCTGATCAGCTTTTAATACCTCAGTTCTCAAGCACCCTCAGGCATTGCTCTTCCCTGCATTTCAGTGCCTGCTTCCAACTGCCTCACTGCCCCAAGCTGGCCCGCTTCACTAGGCTCTCAGCTGCTCTGCTTTGCATTGCCCTGGGGAGAAAATGGTTGAAAGGTCAAGCTCTCATTTCCCCTTTAAAGGGCAGAGGTGGGAGGTGAATAACAGCAGCTGAAATGTGTTTAGGGTACAATACTGCCGTTCAGGGAGAGTAGAGAGAGGTGGCCCACTGTACCAAGGCAGGCAGGGGGTCGAACTACCTCCAGCTCACACATCCCCCATTCCTTCATTCAGCCAAGCAATAGGTAGTGAGCACCAATTCGGTACTGGGGGGCATATTCTAGTGCTGAGGATCCAGAACCTCCAAGATCTTGGGATCTAGAGGAGGGAGCCACAAGGAGGCAGCCCAGTGAGGTCAGGGCTGCTGGGCAAGCCACCTCGGCACTCTGGGGGGCATGGCAAGTGGGCCTCCTCAAAGGACAAAGACCACACTCCAGCTCCAACCTCCTCGTGGCCCCTCATGGACCCACTTGGGCAGCAGGGTGCCCAGTCTGGGCCCAGAGCATCTGAGAGCGACTTACCTCCCCTGGCGCCGCCGGCTACCCTGGAGTGTGATTTGCACAGGGATGCTGAAGGGCTGCATGAGGGCTGGGGGCTGGGCACAATGGACCCCTTTCACCTGAGTCAGGCCTTGCAGCTCCCAGGACACCCGAAGGGTGAGGCCTCAGCATCAGCGGAAGTGGAGCCCCAGGGGGAGCCCCCAGAGCCCAATGCAGCAACTGCCATCAGCAGCCTGGGCCTGCAGAGCTGTCCGCCTGCCAGTGATTCCTGGGGATGTGGCAGCTCAGGCCAGGCTGGCTCGGCTCTGCTGATTCTTGGCCAGGCAGAGCAGGCGGTCCCAGAGGCCCAAGGAAGGCTTGTGTGGTTCTCTGCAGCCACCTGCGGCCACCTTGTCACCTGTGCTTCCGCTGCAGCAACCCCGTGCATCACCATAGAGACCTCAGGGCTTGTGGAAAGTTCTGAGGCCCAGGGGACCCTATCTAATTGGTGAGGGCCATGCACAGCTCAAGGTTTATTTCAAGAGGAAGTGTTTTACCCGAGCTGCGTTTCCTCTTGAAACAAGTGGTCTGTTAGAGGACAAGTTGAGTTTTTCTGGTTAACTGCATGTTCCCATGAAGAGACTTAAGCTTTTGTATCATATGTCACTTCCCAATTTTTCAAGACTCAAAGAAACATAAGATAATCCATCTTAAAATTATTCCAAAGATTTTCTTACAAAGACAGTATGGAATAACATCTCATTCTTTCTTTGGCCATTTTGGCCATTGGGGCTCTTTGATTTCCCCCAGTTACAACCACGAATTACCACTGTGCAGTACTGAAGTTATTGAGATGTGGATAACAGAATGACAAATAGATCACTTTCACTGTAGGTTTCTTAGTCAACACAATATTATCTTTTTTATTATTATTTGACAGGTAGAATTATAGACAGTGAGAGAGAGAGAGAGACAGAGAGAAAGGTCTTCCTTCCGTTGTTTCACTCCCCAAATGACTGCAATGGCCGGTGCTGCGCCGAGCCGAAGCTAGGAGCCAGGTGCTTCTTCCTTGTCTCCCATGCAGGTGCAGGGGCCCAAGCACTTGGGCCATCCTCCACTGCCTTCCCGGGCCACAGCAGAGAGCTGGCCTGGAAGAGGAGCAACAGGGACTAGAACCTGGCGCCCATATGGGATGCCGGCGCCACGGGCGGAGGATTAACCACGCGAGCCATGGCGCCAGCCCAGCACAATATTATCTTTTTTTTTTTTTTTTTTTTTTTAACAGCCAGAGTGAATAGTGAGAGAGAGACAGAGAGAAAGGTCTTCCTTTACCGTTGGTTCACCCTCCAATGGCCGCCACGGCTGGCGTGCTGTGGCCGGTGCACCACGCTGATCCGATAGCAGGAGCCAGGTGCTTCTCCTGGTCTCCCATGGGGTTCAGGGCCCAAGCACTTGGGCCATCCTCCACTGCCTTCCCGGGCCACAGCAGAGAGCTGGCCTGGAAGAGGGGCAACCAGGACAGAATCCGGCGCCCCGACCGGGACTAGAACCCGGTGTGCCGGTGCCACTAGGTGGAGGATTAGCCTATTGAGCCGCAGCGCCGGCCACAATATTATCTTAAAAATTCTTCCAAAATGTTGGTTTGAGCAAGAATGTGAGGATGGGGGCTGGCATTGTGGCCCAGGTGGTAAAGCTGTCACCTGCAATGCTGGCATCCCATATGGGCACTGGTTCCAGTTCTGGCTGCTCCACTTCTGATGCAGCTCCCTGCTGATGTGCCTTGGAAAGCAGCAGAAGATGACCCAAGTTCTTGGGCTCCTGCATCTACGTGGGAGACCTGTAAGAAGCTCCTGGCTCCTGGCTTCAGCCCGGCCCAGCGGCCATTTGGGGAGTGAAGCAGCGAATGGAAGATCTTTCTCTCTGTCTTTCCCTCTCTGCCTTTCAAATCTTTAAAAGAAAAAAAAAGAATGTAAGTGTCTATGTATTTATAAATTATAACTACATAAACTTACTAGCAACCATTTAACATTGTTAAATGAAAATATATATACTGTAATTTGTATCATTTTTTTATTGATGGTTATGGACTAGGTCCATTGGTTCTTAGTGAACCAATGGAATTAAATAAAATTAAGAACAACTAGACATTTTTTTCCTTCTGCATCACAATTGCAGTTTCTCCATGTATATAAAAGATAACTTTTTTGTCTCAGTTCTGATGAGCTAGCACATCCCCTGGCCCCCACATCTTGGAATGGAGCTCTGTTTCAACAAGAGAATGATTTGCTGCCACTTTTAGGTACTTAATTCAACCTCAGACATTTATGTCTGAACCCTGAGATTCTTGGCACCGAGAATTTGCCCCTGCCTTTACTGCAACCTCCCAATCCTTCCCAGCTTATTATTCTAGCTCCATTTAAAAGAAAACATTTACGTACAGCCTTTAAAAAAATCATAAAAAAAAAAAAAAGTAGAACAGAGAAAGCCAGTTACTTTAAATTACTTTGAGTCCTCATTCAAGAGCTTTGAGGGGCCAGGACAGGTTTGTCTGTAGTACGGGACAGGTCTGGGCCTGGCCATGTCTTAGCTGTGATGGTCACTGGACACTGAGCTCAGACTTTGCATGTGCTTGGATTTTTTCTTCCTTTCTCATAGGATCCAGATGGTTAGTGAGAAGTAGTAATACCACCTTTGCTCTGTCATTTCTTTTTCTTTTTTTTTAGATTTATTTATTTGAGTTACAGAAAGAGAAGGAGAGACAGAGAGAGAGATCTTCCACCTGCTGGTTCACTCCCCAAATGGCCAGAATGACCAGGGCTGGGCCAGGCCTAAGCCAGGAGCCAAGGGCCAGGAGGTTCTTCTGGGTCTTCCACATTGGGGCAGGGTGGCCCAAGTGCTTGGGCCACCTTCCATTGCTTTCCCAGGCACATTAGCAGGGATCTGAATCAGAAGTGGAACAGCAGGGACTCACTTGAACTGGTGCCCATAAAGGATGCCACCATTACAGGTGGCAGCTTTACCCTCTATGCCACAACGCCAGTCCTGGTGAGACCCAATTTGGCATTACAATGACCCTGCTTCATTATACTATCATTATAATGCAGTTAGCATTGTAGTTTTGCCCCTGTCCCAGTAGGCATCCCCAATGCATACTGGGAAGCCACAAGCACAGAGAGCCCAAAGGTATGCAAATCCCAGATGATAATCAAAAATACCAATCATGACCATCACAGCCACATAACTAGTCAACATCCCTCACGTTTTAGGGATAAAAGCCCCAAACCCAGAAGAAAGGGACTCATGTTCTCTCTCGACTGGCCCATTCCTCTCTTGGAATGTACTTTAATAAACTTTGTTGTACTATCCCTGCTTTAGTCTCCTTGAACTGTAATTCATTACTCCATTGGTGAAAAGAATGGGGACACACTGGCAGCTACAGGTAACACCACCCATGTGGAAGACCTGGATTGAGTTCCCGGCTCCTGGCATTGTTCCAGCTGGCTGTTCCAGCCATTCAAGGAGTGAACCAGGGGATGAAAGATTTTGTGTGTGTTTGTGTTTGTGTGCCTGAGTGTGTGTGTGTTTTCTTTGCCTGTTAAATAAATAAAGCATGTAATCCACTTGCCCCACCAAACATCACAGCTTAGCAACACAGTCCACTGTAGCTGTTTGCCCCTGTGATCCCGTAGCAGACCAGGAGCTGTATCACAACAGAGTATCATGCCACATATCACTAGCCAAGAAAAATGCCAAAATCCAAAATTTGAAGTATGGTTTCACTTTTGCACCATTGAAAATTCAAAAAATCATATGCCTGGCCACCGTAAGTCAGGAATCACCAGTAACCCTATCTATCCTGCTTGACCTCCACACTTCCCTCCAGGTAAGGGAGCAGTGGGGCCCAGGGCCTGGGTGCTTGCTGACATTCCTGCATGCTGTATTCCTAAACATCAGGAAGCTTTTCAAAAAGCAATTAAGACCAGATCAAATGAAGATGTCTTAGCTTCCAGGCCAGCTCCCAAAGCACAGATCTGGGCAGCAGAGAGGTGGCAGATGTGGTGCTGACCACAGATGCTCCTGGACCCACAGAGCAGATGAATTGCGAATGTGAAGCCACAGAGTGATTATGTCTTGTGCTTTTTCTTCCAGGAGCCTGTACTTGATGGCTGGTGTTAAAAAGTAAAATCTAGGGGCTGGTGCTGTGGCACAGCAGGTTAATGCCCTGGCCTGAAGCGCCAGAATCCCATATGGGCGCCGGTTCTAGTACTGGCCGCTCCACTTCCGATCCAGCTCTCTGCTATGGCCTGGGAAAGCAGTAGAGGATGGCCCAAGTCTTTGGGCTCCTAGCACCCGTGTGGGAGACCCAGAGGAGGCTCCTGGCTCCTGGCTTCAGATCAGCGCAGTTGCAGCCATCTGGGGAGTGAACCATTAGATGGAAGACCTCTCTCTGTGTCTCTACCTCTCTCTGTGACTCTGTCTTTCAAATAAAATAAAATAAATCTTTAAAAAAAGTAAAATCTAAAGGCGACTAAATGCTTAGATTTTTAAAAATTCCTTTAGTGATTTCTCCCCATTTTCTAGACAGAGACTTTAGTGTCAAGTTCATCAGGGCCTTTTAAGCATCTGTTTGCTTGTGGAGGGGCTGAGAACATCAGAGGACTTCAGTTACCTTAGTTTGCCTTTATGGAATGCACAGGAGCAGCCTAACAAACTAGTGACCACCGAAATGAAGTCAGTCTCAAGTCACAAGTGAGGATATTTTCTGATTTATATTATAATTCTTTAAGAGACAAGTAACAAAGAAAGCAACCCTAAGAGAAGTCAAGCAAGAGGTAAAAACTGACTACCATAAAAGGAGACCAACTTTATGTCACTTTGTCAAGTAATATCTGTGGAATAATAATGTTTAAGAGCATTTTGAGTTAAGCCACTATTTGTGACACTGTGACTCATATCAGAGTGCCAGTTCCAGTCCTGGTATCTGATTGAGCTCCCTGTTAATGTACCTGGGAAGGCAGTAGATGACAGACCAAGTACTTGGTCCCCTGGCACCCATATAAGAAACCCAGATGGAGTTCCAACCTCCTGGCTTCATCCTGGCTCAGGCTTGGTGGTTGTAGCCACGTGAGAGATTAACCAGTGAATGGAAAACTCCTCCTACCCCTGTATTTCAAACAAATAAATAAATCTTTTAAAAAATAATATTAGAGAAATAAAAAGGGGTGGGCATTTGGTACAGCAGTCAACATGCAGCTGGAAACACCCATATCCCATATCAAAACGCCTAGGTTTGAGTCCCCGCTCAACTTTTGATTCCAGTTTCCTGCTAATGCACACCCTGAAAGCCAGCAGGTGATGACTCAAGTACTTGAATCCCGGCCACCCTTGGGGAGACTTAAATTGAATTCCTGGCTCCTGGCTTCAGCCTGTTCCAGCTTTGCAGGCATTTGGGGGAGTGAACCAGCAGTTCAGAGATTCTTTCTTTGTCTTTCAAATAGACATATATACGCTGTTTAAAACTATGACAAGAACCACAATAGTCACCATTCTTGTGAGCCTTTACCAGCCCCAGGTACTGCTGAGGACAGTGCTGTGAGGGGGACGCGATCAACTGAGGAAGTGAGGCTCAGAGAGTTTAAATAGTTTACCTAAAACTCCACAGTAGTGAATATTGCAACTAACCTTCAAATCCAGGTTTCTCTGCCGCAGGGCTGATTCTCTTCATCAGAGCATGCCATGAGCCTGTTCACTTGGTGCCATCCCAATTCCTAAAGCAAGTATTCTATCTCTAGCTCTTTTGATCTTTCATCGTCTGTCTGAGGAATCTCTGTGAAGGTTGAGGTGGCTGGGAGAACAAAGTAAGATGACCTTGGCACCAGCTACAAAGTGTTTTTTTTTCTTTTTTCTCACCTGCATCCAGTGAAACACAAAAAGGGAGGAGACTGTACCTTCTTTCCCAAACTGTCTGAATTATATCTGACAGCAACTCTCCATCACGCAAGGAGCAAGCTTTAAAAGCCTGGAACTAATAACTACTTAGACTGACTGTCAGGGCAAAGGGGAACAGTGAGGAAGGGAGAGACACTAGCAACACAGTTAGAAAGTGGGCATCTGGATCAAGCCAGCAGTCAAACCTGAACCTGGCTGAATCACGTTAGCAAAGTCACATGTTTTCTGTGACCTCCTGAATCTCCTCCCACTGGTCTTTAAAAGAAGTGGTGCAGGGCCAGCGCTGTTGAGCAGCGGGTTAACACC